GCATTTCCTAGCAAAACTTCAGCAGGAAACAAAGATGAAAACTGAGAGCTAGAAGTAAAACTTTCATGTAATATGACTATAATCAGTCCCTGGAGACGGATACCACATGAAAGCATGACGGCAGCAGGAGGGATGAAACAAAGCAGTAGGTGGGAGGACTTAAAGGGCAGGCTGTAGTCAACGCTGTGCCTGGCTAATTCCTCTTCGTTATTTCTGCACAGCGGGACACGCAAGATGAATTACCCGCGCTCCGAACTCCACAACTGGAGACACTTCATTACGCCGAGGCGAGACGATTACCGTCATCCCGACTTGGCGCTGGTAGCAGCGGGGAACTTTAATTGGGGGTTAGTGAAGGAAAGGACGACCCTGGAGGAACAAAGCACTGGGAGATAAAGTCCCATGTAATTGCACTGCTGTACATCATCTGTCAGACTCGATACTGTGAGGTGCAGTCACTGGTGGCAAGTTGCAAAGTCAGAAACAAAAGATCAGCCCTTGAACTTGAAAGAAAAGTTGTGAAGAGAAACAAAGGCTGAACAGTGCATTTCATCTTCCTGAAACTTCAGCAGGAAACTGCATGAAACTTAATGAAGCACACAGAAACAATTTACTGTAGCAAACATTGTACACTGTTGAAGTTCAGACTACATCATGCTTCTAGCAGCCAATCCACTGGTCAGGCCGCTAGTCTGACTACATCACGCTTTTAGTAGCTCTTCCACTGGTCAGGTCACTATCCTAACTACATCACACTTAAAGCATCTCTTCCACTGGTTTGGTCATTATAGAAGGCCCAGTTAGCACCTGACAGTGAGAGATTGTGTGACACAGGCTAGGTCTGCTATGAAGTATACATGCTAATTTTTAAGGAAAGTTTTTCTCTTTGTAATGGACTTGCAAATCTAAGACAGCCGTGCCCAGGTAATGACACAGAAGGGATTCTGCTAGGAAGAAACCTTAGACAACCTTGCACTTGTAAGTTGTGTAAACTTTCCATTTGAACCTCGCTCACACCCTCCACAAAAGAAGCTCCTATATTTCACATCCGTCTGCAAAACCTGGGGGTGAAGCTACGGCGACCCCCGGCTCGTAAATGGAGCCGTGCCGCGACTTTTCTGCATTTGCGAAGTTTTGTGGGGTCCGAGGTCAGCTGTGGTACAATACACCAGGGACGGCTTTATGCTGGGTTTGATTGCAATATTTTCATTGCTGCCACGATGGTAGGGTAGGAAAGCACATTGCACGAGCACCCAGGAGAAAATCGAACACAAATGCAGGCATAGGTCACACAATGTACTCAGGCTAGATTACGACTACCATTAATTTTAGGGCAGTTGTGCTGGGTTTTACAGGGTATATGTGGAATGCAGCCATGCAGTTTTTATAATACAGAGAAGACTGAGAGAGATCGTTCTGAGAAAAAGATTGCATTATGCATGGGGTTTTCAAGGAATTTTACAAGGAATTTGAAACAGATACCCCCGGTCTAATAGTTATAGTTTGATGAAAGATTCATTGCACCATTGATACATACCCTACACAACGAAAGAATTGTTGCATTGACATTATGACAATATTTCATGTAAATCGTCCTTTGCGATCTTTTTCTGCTCCCAAAGACATGAATTTAACATATAAATCTAAATTTGCTGTGCAGAGAAGCACTTGTATCCATGAGGTATGCATGTATGTAAAAGTTTAACAATGCCACGAGGGAGGCACAAATTAATTCCAGTTACAAGTTGCTTGAAACATTGTAAAATGATAGTGGATGAAATAAATATCCATCTTTTTATGAAATTTTCATTCTACATGTACGTTTGTCAAATATGGGGGGAATGGAACTCATTGAAGCAAAATGCAACATGTATGAATCAGTCATTATTTTGATCGTAAAAGTTAGATAAGCATCAAATTCCATTTTCTTGCATCCCGATATCTGATAGAATTTAGACTCGTCAGTAAAAACAAAACTTATCTGAAAGCCAAAATCATATTGGATTAACATTAACCTCACTTCAATGGCAGAGACTTTATCAAAAGAGACACTTGTGCATGGATCACTCGAGTGGGAATATTCGGCTCTGCTTTGAGAGGAACTTCGATTGATCCCAGGACCACAAAAATCCAATATCGTATCGACCCAGCAGTCCCGTCCCTTTGAAGCCTAACACTGGTACTGTGGTGGGAAGAGACGTGTATGTTTGCCATCCACGAGCTGGGATTTCCACCGTAATTCTTCCCGACTCTTTCTGACACGCGTTGCTTTGATCTGGACTTGTAAATGATGTGCAGTGTTTTCACTGTGGAGTCTGTAATGACAAACCTGCTGATGCCAGGTGCCAACTTTAGGCTTTGTCAGTTTTATGTGTTGGTTCTTGGACATTTTTATGAGAAATATTGGCAAGAGAACATCGTGACTACAGAAGGATGGGTTCAAAACTTGCATATGACTTTGTTCACTCCCTGAAACTGTGTGGACAAAATCCTTTCCTCTCATTTGTTGTCATGATTGTCGATATTCCAATTTACTAGAATCTAGCAGTATTCTTCATGCATCTGAGAACCAACAAATTGGTGTGGCATATCATACTAGCTAAAGATGCTGAACTGAAACTTTCAGATGAAAACAGTCTCAGGGGAATATCACATTTTGGGGACACACACACAGACACAGACACACACAGATTCGGAGAGTAAATACCCCAGTCAAGTTCAAATTTTCCTCCCAGCTCCCCATTTTCATGACATTCTCTTCCTAAGATGCTGACTTGCAGAAGTTTTCCACTCATCAAATGCCACCTGACTTATAACAAGATGACAAATCCTTCAATTTACATACAAAGCGTGAAGGTACACCCAGCTTTTGAAGCAAGACTATAATGGGGATTATGAATTGTACCCAGTAGATCCCACACGTTTTGCCCCAAGGGAAAGATCAATACGAGACCAAATGTATTGATTTCCGACAAACCAGCCTATTTCTCGTCCTTTAAAGGCTTGGAGATATTGGAACTGATATTGACTTTACCATTTCCATATTCCACGGCCGAGTTAAGCCGTAGCTACTTAGGTTCAGACTGCTGAATCTTTGATACTGACTGAGATATTTTGCACAGTTTTGTAATGTCCAAATCTATAAAATACAAAGCACTAGTTTGTACTTAGCCTAAGACTGAGACATATAGATGCTGGAAGCACATTGATTTAATAATTTTGTCTAATCCTAAGTTCTAATTGTTTTAGCCAACACCAATTTATTTCCAAAAGATAATTTTGGAACTTGGACATTTTAAAGTAAGATTTTTGCCAGACTTAATGAGAAAATAGACAGCTGTGAAGGAGAAACTTTCTGACTATATTCACACCCCAAAACTGTGTGCATCTTCAGAGAAACAGACCCTGTTTTCATGTTGATTTTTCAGTACTGTTCAGTACTGTTCAGTTCTGTTCAATTCAGTTTCTGCACCATTTTTAATATCCAACAACCAACATATTAAATTAGCATAGCCTTTGACTTCTTTTCCCAATTTCATGATGTATTGTTTTCAAAATTGGTAGATAAGCTTTAAGAAACACCTAGTGTGGAAAAGGGAACAGGTTTTCCCAACATAAGGCACTTAGCATTTTAATACATGCAAGATTAACAATTCTCCAGGGGTATGTCATATCGGAAATCTGATGTTACACCGTATTAAGATTAGTCTTTGCGGTTGCAAGTATGATTATGCTATTGTTAGATTAGCCATGCTTATTAGGATCATACATAATTCAATAACTTCATACAGTATCTTGATGAGACCACTTTGGTGAAAGCTTGGAGTCAGATATGCCTGGTTTAAGTGATATGTACGACAGGCTGCGATTGTAATGCCTGAGTGTGTGCTACGCCAAAGGGCAGGCATGCTGCCAGACTGCAAATGTAGATCGAGATATCAGAGTAACACCATACATTTACACAGAGTTGGAAAAAAATATCAGTGACAACTAAATTGAAAACTGTTGATCCTTCTGATGAGTTTTCAATTAGAAGGTATTTTCTAAAAATTAGATTTAAACGTGAAATATTATGAAAAAAAAACTAAAGCCAACCTGCAGCTGGGAAATATCAAATGATATTTCCTGCAATTTAAGGGGCAAATTTTGCTGGTGGACTAGGGTTTAATGGCATCCCTGCCAATTTCTGAATGTTAAAGATGACAGATTGGGCAAAATTTTTGTCTGTCATGAGCGGCAAATTTGCAAAAGATAACAGAAAGACAGACCACTGGCTAGAACACCGTTTCCCACCCCTGTGATCTGAAACAGTTCGCTTGAGTTCGTGACCTCCCCAAGGTGACGGATCGCCCCGTGGAAGTTTTAAGGTCGTCCCGACAGTTACTCGGGCGAGATCGTTTATCAGGTCTGGTGATCTGGCAGAAGTCGACACATTCCCTCCCCGGGCTAAATATTGCTATGGATTTATCAATCCAGGAAGACCATATCCTGTATAATTTAAGTCATGCTATATGTAATAGGCTGCACGAACTCAATTCAATCTGTTAGGTCTTGGACATTTTTATGAAAAATTCTTGCAAGCCTTAGTGGACATCATGACAACATACTGCATGAGTAGCAGCTGACCAATGATGATGACTGCACACTGTGGGAAACCAGTCTAGTTGTGTCCGTCTTACATGAACTTGCAGTTGCCTTCTATTGTAAAAACTGGGCATTCTGTATGAGCTGGGCTTCATGATAGAGTCAAAACAATGTCAGCTAATTCATCATGCTTATTGTCTAGTAATTATTTTAATAATTATTATGTATTTGTATAGTTGTTTATTAGTTTTATTAATTTTTGTGTTTGCCTAATATGTATAATTCAGCAAGTTGTACTATGTACAAGTGGCTGCAGTGTATTGTTATGAATCGAAACAATAAAATTTTAAAACCAATTTCACATAAACCAATATTACTAACAACAGGAAGAACAAAAAACACAATGACTGTCCCACCTGTTGGATGTGTATGGGTGTGTTGATGATGTAATCTGCTGCATCCTGGGATAGCGACAGGTTGTTCATCAGAACCTTCTGGAACTCAGACTTGTCTGTCAGCACAGATCCCAGACTAAAATCTGCAGGAATGCAAGAAGAACATCAAATTCTGTACACTGACATCAGGACATTTGGAAACTGAAAATTGCATTCATAAGATTTACATGACTACAGCTGTGTTCAGCCTGCAATTGTCTGTACATTTGAAGGTCCACTACATTTTCATACAAAAGACATAATATACAAATAATTAAGATAACATAAGATATACAATAGATATACAAACAAAAATACAAATTTAAAAATATAAATTAAGCCAACAAAAACAGGCCCAGCTAAACTTTGAGTGTCTAGAATATGTTATTAATGTAAAGCTATGAAATACAAGAATACAAAATTTTCTGTCCTTGGTGCTGAAAAGTTATCGTCTTCATGAAAAGTTACCCAATGAATGGAGTTTCAAATGTCTGTAGTTATATTCTGTCCACATGGACAGACATAACCTTTCTGTAAAGGGCCACAGCTTCTTAACAGAGACCAATTAAGTATTCTATACTGAAGCAACAAAGTCATGGGTGTAGAGAGTACACTTGTATTAGCTTACAGGCCATGAAAACTGTCATGCTCTAGGGCACAGTTTTGCATGTGCACTGAAAAAATTAGTGAAATACGATGTATCTGATGGAATACAACATCACTTGCAAGCAAATGAAGGCAACATTGGAGTTTCTTTGTCCTTAGTGCTGAAATTGGGGTAGTTATCACAAAACAAATTTCAAATGTCTTAATATAACATAATTCTAGGTACATGTACATAGGTACATAATTCTAGGTACATGTACCTCAAAAAGACATAACCATTCGGTGTAAGGAACAGAGGTTTCTGTATCAAGAGTACAATATCATGATGTACAATGCACATTAGGAACATTTGTATTCTGCACTGAAGCAACAAAGTCAAGGGCAGTGTAAGTACACACATATTGGCTTACAGGTCATGAACAATTTTACTCTCCGAGGCACACTTCTGTGAGCGCGCTGAACATCCGAGACCTTAACATGGCGGATTTATTAGTCCAAGACGGCTCTCCTTTTCTCTTTTGAGGAGCAGGTCATGAAATATTCAGGACTTCTCTTTCAAAAGCGGTGAATTATTAACGGGGACTCATTATGGCCACCTCACACAGCCTACACTAGGCTACAGTCTGGGCCTGATTACTGATAGATGACATGATATCAGGTGACAGGGATGACACCATCATCATCACTAACCGGTCGCTAATCACCAGGGCAGGGCAAAACTAGATCAAGTTTGTGGTTAACATCATAACAGACATGTTTGTTAGAATTTGTTTGTAATGGTTGGATGCAAAGTTTCTTTCTAATCCTCTGCTTTCGTTGTTTCTATTGCAAATGATTTGCTGAAAAAAGTCCAAGAACAAAGAAAATACAGTGATGAGCCCTTATCATCTCAAAACTTACACCCAAACCAAGAAAAAAAACGAGCAAACTAAATTTGAAGAGCCAGTTGCAAAATGTAAAAAAATCGTCTGTGATATTTTCAAGTTTCAATTTGTGCCTGAATATTGAATCCCCCAGGTTAATTGCTGTCCATTGGAAAGTCTAACGACAGGATGATTTTATGCCCCCCAAAAGACGACGTGTTGTCTCCAGGAGATATAAATGTCTCTGTCAGCATCTTGCCACACGGAGGTCAATGGAGGTTATTGATATATACCGTAGCGATTTGTCTGCAGGACCAGTTTTTGGCTCCGTTTCAAGTATCCGCATCCTCCTGTGCCAGAAGAGCTGATCTATTTTTCAACAAGTTACATGAAGGACTCATGAATACATTTTTGGGGTTCTCGTATTTGAAGAAATTCATGGACAAGTACAAGTACAAGTAGTAAGTAAGTACATGGACATATTTTTTGTTTCTCGGACTTCATGCAAATTGTATAAACTGTAAAATCACAATGAAAACAAAGTCTGAACCTTGGTTCACACAGTTTCAGGTACTGGTGGGATTACAATAATTATATACACTCAATCAGATGCAAGCTTTTCTCTGCACAGCCTGTTTTTATCTTGACAAAGCTAAATTTTTACTTACTAGAATATCCGAAAACTATCAATTTAAAATGAGTTGTTGAAGCCTCATTTCTGTTATTAAAAGACCTGTAAATAAACGTGAGGTAATCTGAAGAATGCTGACTGTGAAAAATTCTAGTAATGGGCAGATATCAGCAAGACTGACAGTCAATCAACCCAGCCCAGTGGGAAATCATTGTCTGCAGTGGTGATAACAACATTATAGCAAGGCTAGATCAAGCATTTAGGACACGTTGACTTATCTGCTTGGTTCCTGGATATCTAATAACTTTTAAGACAATGAATGATAACACACATACACGATAATGACAGAGAGCCAAGAACAGGGCTCAAAATACTTTTTCTAATAATTATCTGCAAATTATACCTGAGTATATGTACCACTCAAAAGCTAAGAAGTATGGGTGAAACTGAAAACTGGTAAGAAATTATTGCCATTACCGGTATTTCTTTACACTTCATATTTGGTGGAAACAGTCAAAGCAGCAAATAAAAACTTGAATACACCTACAAATACTCCAATTTGCCTGCACTAGCCTGCATAATTATACAGTTGGTATTTTGAGCCTCGATTTAGATGATGAATGATGAAAGGAAGGGGCAAGTTTAATACAAAGAGCAAAGAGGGGAGTTAGATCAGATTCTGAATACATCTACTTCACAAAACTGCCATGAACAAGTACCTACCATTTTGATGTTGACCTCCCTGTCCAACTCATTATTTTAGTTTCAATTTTCCAAGAACCAACAATTCAGATTGTCGTATCCCATAAGAATATCTGAAGCCTTAGGTAATATCAACAGTTACTCGTGTATACTAGTAATACTAATAGTATCATTTTATAATATTAAACACTGGGTCTCATTTATGTTTGATTCAAATTCTTTCATCAATGGTGACACATAGTTCAATATACCTTGGCGCTTGGATTTTCTATGAAAAATTTGTGTGGACACCATGGCAATGTGTCATTAGATGCATCGTTGCCTGAAGAAACCTCTGCATGTGTGGCTGTAGCTTTGGGAGTGTGAAGACATTTTTAATGTCACTGGCCCCTGATCGTAAAAAAATCATAGCCTGTGATACTTTTATTAATTTATTGAGATTAAGCACATTTGTGGAAGGATTGACATAACTGGTGAAGATCACCGTTTAAGTTTGCAATACTACCAGGTTTGCTCCAGTCACACTGGGAAGGACCCCTGTACATACATGTAGCTATTAGTACGTCTTCTAACTAAGACTGTGGAGGGTTCTTAAACATGCTCAAGGTGTGGCTCTCCTGAAACACAAGTCTTCCAGCTAAATGTCCCATCAAGAAGGACGTCCCTAACTCAAGCTAGGTACTAATTTTCACCTTTTCATGCTATTTAATTTTTTCAAGCCCTGTGATCCCAAATCTGCAAGATCCATAAAAGACAAATAAAGCTATAAAGTTAACATTAGCATAAAAACTTTTGGTTCGTGAATTGCAACATAAAACCCAAACATAGAATACTCTGCATTCCTCTGGGCAACTTGCCAAAGTTGTAAAAGGTCAACCTTCAAGCCAAGTTATCAGATCCAAGCAGCCAGAAAGCAGAATGGATGATATCTCAGTTCCCCCCAACTGCCAGCTGCCTCGTCTGAATTCCCTTCTAGATACCAGTTAAATCCCAACAGCCAATCAGCAAGGAGAATAGAGGAAAGCTGCATGCCTATTGGTTGATGCCTTGCATGCCATTGTGATGACTCATGTCCAAATGTGGTAAACACTGCACACTTACACAGTAATACATTAGCTATTACACAGCCAAAAAACTCAAATAAAACCATTCTAAAAGCCTGTATCACAATAATTTAAAAAACGCCTAGGGGTATTTGCCCACTGTACCTCCATACCAAATTTCAGGACCTTAGGCCCTAAAATGAAGAAGCTGAATCCATTTAAAGATATGGCAGGAGGAGGAGGAGGAGAAGGAGGAGGAGGAGAAGAAACATCAGAAAAAGCAATATGGTTTCACCACACCACTTCGTGGTGTGGTGAACCCATAATTATCTGCAAATTCTACCTGAATATATGTACCACTCAAAAGCTGGGAAGTATGGATGAAACTAAAACTGGTAAGAAATTATTGCCATTATTTCTTTACACTTCATATTTGGTGGAAACACACAGTCAAAGCAGCAAATAAAAATTTGAATACACCTAAAAATACTCTGATTTGCCTGCACTAGCCTGCATTATGCAGTTGGTATTTTGAGCCTAGATTAGGATGATGAATGATGAAAGGAAGGGGCAAGTTTAATGCAAAGAGCAAAGAGGGGATTCTGAATACATTTGTACATCTATTTCACAAAACTGCCATGAACAAGTACCTACCATTTTGATGTTGATCTTCCTGTCCAACTCATTATTCTAATTTAAACTTTCCAAGAACCAACAATTCAGATTGTCGTATCCCATAAGAATATCTGAAGCCTGAGGTAATACCAACTCTTCTGTATAATAGTATCATTTTATAATATTAAACACCGAGTCTCATTTATGTCTGATTCGAATTCTTTCATCAATGGTGACACAGAGTTCAATATACCTTGGCGCTTGGATTTTCTATGAAAAATTCGTGTGGACACCTTGGCAATGTGTCATTAAATGCATCAACGCCTGAAGAAACCCCTGCACATGTGGCTGTAGCTTTGGGGCTTTGAAGACATTTTTAATGTCACTGGCCCCTGATCGTAAAAAATTATCAGGATACTTTTATAGCCTGGGATACTTTTATCAATTTATTGAGATTAAACACATTTGTGGAAGGATTGACATAACTGGTGAAAATCACCTTTGCAATACTACAAGGTTTGCTCTACTCACACTGGGATGGACCCATGTAGCTATCAGACTAAGTAAGACTGTACATGTGGAGGCTTCTTTAACATGCTCAAGGTGTGGCTCTCCTGAAACACAAGTCTTCCAGCTAAATGTCCCATCAAAAAGGACGTCCCTAACTGAAGCTAGGTACTAATTTTCACCTTAGTTTTCATTCTATTTTTTCAAGCCCTGTGTTCCCAAATCTGCAAGAGCCATAAAAGACAAATAAAGCTATAAACATTAGCATAAAAACTTTAGGTTCCTGAATTGCAACATAACCCAAGCATAGAATATGTTGCATTCCTCCGGGCAACTTGCCAAAGTTGTAAAAGGTCAACCTTCAAGCCAAGTTATCAGATCCAAGCAGCCAGAAAGCAGAATGGATGATATCTGAGTTCCCCCCAACTGCCACCTGCCTCGTCTGAATTCCCTTCTTGATACTTCCTCAGTCTATCTGTATATCTTGATTTCCTGTGACTTTCTATTGATTTTTATCAGATGAGGAGCTTGCTTATCTCAACAAAAGGGCTTGCTGCATTTTTTTTTTTTTGCATTTGCATTTTTTTTCTTGGAAAACCTTCTTCAAACTCAGTTAAACCTGATGTCAGCATCACTTTTACTCCAGGACTTCAATGCCACATGAGTATGGTTTCCTGGCTCTAGCAAGAGGTACATTGTACATGATTTCTTTGGTCCCCTTTTTTTAAGGCCGAGGGCAACATGAAAATCTGGAATGGGCTGGGATAAAAACTTGTTTTTTTTTGTCTGACTTGTCTATACTCTATTAAACTGTGTGTGTCAAGTTAGAGACTTTCCCCTCAAAGTGTCTGTTTCCATCATGTTGATGTTCCAATCTACACAGGGGTATTGAAATTTGATGTGCCCAAGAACCACAGGACAGAGGCAAATGGTGAGCTACCATCAAGCTCAGCATCCAAGTGCAAGCATGTCTAACCCTTGGGGAACATGGTTATGGGGAACAACAGACATTAAACACCAGATAGATAGAGGAATAGAGACTGTAGCTACACAATTACTCTTGACAATCAGAGAACCCGGAAATCACATTATTGTAGCCTAACTCCAGGCCTGTATTTGTGAGTCTTGCCCTGTGCAGGATTGATGCCCCCGACCGGAGGCTGGTTCAGGGTGTCAGGGAGCCACAGGTTTGTGTAATGATCCCATTTTCCACACCAGTACCTCCCAGGGAGCCATTAGCAAACACCTGTTTGTCATCCCTGTTTTCTTCCGCCTGTCCTCAATACTGTAAATCTAGAAATGTTGGCAGTGTTTTGTTTTCTGGCTTTTTGCGGTGTTGACCTCTTGTGGCAAAATTATAACGTCACAAATATTTTGTGTTTTGTATTACTAGGTGAATGCGGCTACAGGACATGCCCACACAACTGTAGATGCAGAACACAGTGGATGATGATGATGATTACTAGGTGTGACCTGGGAGGTGGTTGTTGCTCTGTTTCTATGCACCATTTTCTTTTACATCAGCCATACAGCATCTGCTATAGTCCTATTTGAAAATGACAGTCTATGCCACACATCTGTACTAAGCTGACTCAATTTTGTTACTGATTTCTTTTCTGCCCCCGTTTTGGGGGAAAATGATGTTAAAATTGGATTAAAAAAAAGATCTGCTTCTCTTCTGTGTTGCACATCAGTCTAGCTTCTCCTGGTTTTAGCTAGCCTGGTTACCAAACCTATTATAGCTCCCGAGTCCTACATTTTGTACATCCTCTCCACAAATAGGGGAGAGGCTGTAGGACTCAGGAGCTGTAATAGGTTTGGTAACCAGGCTAGGTTTTAGCTCCCTGGGCAATCATACATGTGTGGCTCCATCTGAAACGGTCATCTGCTTGACCGCTTCTACTATATCCCACGTAGTACATACAAATCCTAGACGTAAGAAGCATATTGGGGTCTGGAATTTTCACTGCAAACTCCTGACCCAAAGCATATTGCTATCTACCAGATGCATTGATCAACGTGTGTTATTCTTAAAGACGCAATAAGAGCTTATGGAATTCCTTTCAAAGAATAGATTAGTAAGAAGCATATTGGGTCCAGAGAACCAAACAGAAAGGCAGGATTTATGCTTCAAACGTCTGACCCAGAAACAGATTGCGATTTGCTTGACCACTTCCACTCTATTCCATACACATCCCTTTACACTCAGACCCTCTTCTACTTTGGTGCAGCTGAAAGGATTTTTCCAAGCGTGCAGTAGGAATGGGATTTAGAACGCGACCTCCACGGTACAAGGTCGGGTGTAATCTTATACCTCACTGGCAAGTTCTGACTCCAAGCAGATGTAGGGTCAGGTTTATTTTTCACGACTTTTTTGCTGCATGTTGTTCATATTTCTAGTATTCTGTGCTTTTACCTCTTTGTACATTGAATTTCTCTGAGGATAAACAGAAAAATGAACATGCAGCACTGCACTAGAAAATGAAAACATGTTCAAAACATTGAGTTGCTCTGCAAGTAACATGTAATGCCACACCATTAAGACCCGGTAATAGTGAAATAGTGTCTTGTTTTTCTCCGCACATCACCACAATTTTATGCTCCTCTTTCGTAAGCCTGTGGTGCTTCCGCAGTGCTGCAATGTGTTTCTGATGAGATAAGCCCCATAAAAGAAGATTTTCTTGGCTATAAATGACAATGTAGGCAGTAAAACACATCTACAGCACATTTGCACCACAATGTTGGATTAAAACAGACTCACAGAAAATGGGTCATAAATTAGCCAATGAGTTTCTTGTACAAAACCTGGATTTGATATTGTTTTACTTGTCAACATTTCAATAGTTTTTCAGCTACAGGAGGGCCTTAAGAATCAATCAATTTTGGCATGAATATATATATGTAAATATAAAAAAAATTGCTCTTGTTCACTTTTAGTGCAACTGCATCTTCCATCAGTTTTACTGTCTGATATTTTATTGTCAGTCTCTTGAATTGTGCAAAATAACTGTTACAGTCAATTCCACTAGGCATACTTACAATTATACTGCCACATCAAAATAAACAGGCAGAATTTAAAGAGATCTACAGATGTACAGCAGCATCAGTAATAATAAATAAAGCATGCAGACTTCAGATATCCACAGGTGTTTACGACATCCTTGAGAAGGCCTCATTTTGTTTTCTTAATGGGGAACCAACAGAATTATTCAAACTGATCATTTAGTTCTCTCACCAAACTGGTCCCAGAGAGATCCAGCTAGCTGTTTTGTTTAAGACAAGCTCAACTCAAACAGATTATACATTGTAACATTCTTGAAAATGCCTCACTCATTTTTTTAATGTGGCAGTCTTACTGGGAACCCGTCAGAATTTATTAAAGAGAATCATTAGTTCTCTCAGCAAACTAGTCTAAGAGGTACCCAGGACAAACTCAACCAAAACAGCAGATTAGAACCAGCATTCTAACTTCCTCCCGCCCCAATGTTGCCAGCTCTCCATATGGAAGTTTATTGGCAATCACCTTTCAAGACTCTTCCCGGAGACAAGTAATTATTTCTACCCACTGATTCCTTCATTACCGGTAAAAAGGCCCAATTACTGCATTAGAGGGTCGGCGAGTTTGTGTCGCTCACCCGTCACTCATTCTGTTACGGGAGCGGAGATAATTTCATCGCTCCTCCGGGTGTGAAGGGAGGGAGTGACAATCGATTTAGGCTGTAATGTGCTTGTAATTTGTCGGTTCTTGATTATTATTTTTTTTAAACTGAAAGGAAAATCAACATGGAAACAGAGCCAGGCAGATGGGAAGGCGGACACTTGCCGGAAAACAACGGTTACAACATACAAACAGAACATGACTTCTGACAATGTGTGATTTATTCATCAATTTTGTCCACTCTAATGCTTTCTGACATAGCATTTTTCTGGCGGTATAAAACTAGAACCGCCCTTTTGCGTGCCGGCAACTAGCTATATCACACTGAAAGATTTGTTACACCCAATCCTTGCACATTTAATTGCAAGAGTTGTTAAAGCTTTCTAGGGATGATGTTCCAACTGTGCTTGGTGGCAACGAGTAAAAAAATCCACTCTACGATTAGTTCTTGGAAAATACAAGTTTTTGATAGTAACATTTTGATAGTACATACTAGTAACAAAACAACCAACCTTTAGCCTGTGCAAACCTCTGCTCGAGTGAGTTTGGGTCGTTGACCAGTGACTCGTAGTTGTGGAGGATCTGGTAGAACTTCTGTCTCACGTCACTGTCCTCATCAAACAGGGCGTTCTGCTGGACAGAGTTACTCAGGCGCTCCAGGAACTGGTACGCTCTGGGGAGGGACAATCATAGATAAAGATGAGTAAAGAGACTCTTTTTACACAACTAAGACTTTTCTCCAGCTGACGTTTTGGTGACCGTCTGTCACCTTCCTAAGGGCAACACATAAACAAAGGATGGACCAGGAAACATCATAGAGAGACGTACTAAGTTGTCCAAGTTTTTAGATATAGTATTTCGTGCATCTTTTTGTTCATTTTTAGTCTTATTATGTGCTTTAACTCTGTAATAATTATTACAAAATAATCTAGTTTGTTTGCCATCAGAAAGAGGCAGGATCTCCTAGAGAGGGTGACTCACGTTGACTTGTCGTATCTGGGGAAGCCATAGTTGTCCCTGTGGCCCCCGGGACAGAGAGCTTGCATCACCGGCAGAACTCCAGCTGAGGGGAGAGGCTGGGCAGCGAAATAACCTGCAGAAAAACATAAAACAGGATAGTGTCTTAGTGTCAAATCTTAGTGTCAAATTTCAGCAACAGGACATCATTAAAAAAATACCTGCCAAAATGGATCTGAACATGACAGAGATACAGGATTACATCTGTGGTAGCTGCACAGGCAATGATGATGAAGATGATAATGATTTTCTGAAATGTTGTCTGTTTCTTGGTTTTATACCGAGTTATGTAGTAACCAAAACTTTAAATTTGAAGCTTTAACATTTTCTGTATCTATAGGTCATGAGGCAGTAAGAAGTAACTGTGTTCATGTATAACCCATGCTACTATACTGTGCTGAGTCCTTATAACAAGCTACATGTATATAACTTCCACTCACACCTGCAGTTTGACCTTCCCAAGTTCTGGTCGACCTTTGGATGTTCTATCTTATTCGTTCCCCGCCATTTTCTCTGTGCCCTGACAATTACACACCTAACCGAGCCTTCTCTTCCCCATCTGTCACGGTGGATATAACTGTCACGGACACAGATGGCAGTTATAACAGTCTCTTATGTAAGGCCTTACGTACGTCACTAAGGCTCTACACAGTCACCAATTTATTTTCTCAGATATTTTTAAGTTGCTTAGAGCCATTAAATGGGATACATAGTGAGGACAGCCACTCTTCAGATCCTTTGAACCATTTGCTGCAAGGAGAGAGTAGTCAGTCCACCCAATAACTTAGTAATTCAATATCAATGTAGGGCACTAAAGCCTGTCACAAAATCTTTAATCTGACTATGTTCACTGAAACTCTTTAAGAATTGAAATTAATGGTTAAAAAATGTGCACCTGGTCCAGCAGGGGATCCGCAGGGGGCGAAATATTGGAGCTGTGCACCTAATTTTTGACTGTGGGTACACTGGCGCACCTAAAAGTTACCTACAATTTAAGTACAATACACAGCACCGATGTTTGGTGCACCTAAATTTTTGGTTAGGTCCACCAGTTCACCTACTTGAATTTCAACTGCTGATTCACAATTAGCTTGACATTTAGCTACTCTCTCCCAGTTCAGCATCAACAAGTTTTTAAATCTCAGAACCAACAAGCTGGTTTAGCCTGGCCTTACATGTAATTCATCTCAGCATGATTCATGTTTCGAGATTTATCAAGATTGAAGAACCATCTTCTTCTGCAATCTCCTAGACTCTATGTCTATTATATTTGATGTATAACCAGCCTGCAACTTGTAATCTATCTTACCTGAGGGATATCTGGATTATGACTTCTCTCATGATACTCTCAGCTTTTACAATCCATCTGGACTGGGTGAGATAACTTCTGTTCTAAGCTAAAGCCTCATCAGTCATTTTGTGTTTCCATTTTGTAGTTTGCTGTTAGATTACAACATTTGCCACGGACCTTACAACCCCCTTCACAAAGGCATGTAGGAAGTCTGGTGTTATTATCAAATCTATCTATTTCCATGGCAAAAGCTCTGCGTAACTTCACCACCTTAGCTTGCACCCCCATTCCGAACTTTCTCAGTAAGAACATGTTTTGCCACTTCTACAGAAACAAATCACCATTTCTTCTTCCATATTCCATCTCTCAGGAGGGAGTTTCACACTGAAAGCTTCTTTCCTAGAACTACATCACTATGGAACAAGCTTCCTTGTGAATGATTCCCAAATGGGTGCAACCATAAACTTTCCTAGTTTATTTTTTAACTTTAAGGTAAACTGTAACCCAAAACATGTAAGTGGTTCTGTATATGAGAACCTTGTTTTGTGGTGAAAACTGAAGTGAATAAAAGAAGTCACTGTACTTCTTGTTGCTTCAATAAAGCTTCCAGTCTGTATTCTGCCCACCTTTTCTGGTGGTATGAATTATGACTGGGGACATCTCAAATTGATGGTTTAATATTTCAGGAGTGCTGCCAGGATTACAAATTATGTTCACCTACAAATCGTCACATAACTCTTCTCTTCCTGCTGAAAGGGAATATCTGCTGATTTATTGCAAAGAGATTATGGTATCGACACATGCAGAATACAATGTACAAAGTAGGAAAGAGGCTTAAAACAGCATAAGCATTCTGCAGTTTACAGAATAGAGAGTGCTAGTAACATCGCTCACTTTGAAATGGAGATTGTTGAAAGGAAAGCCAGGTGTTGGGATTGTACAGTCAAAATAGGAGCAGGCGTATAGAACTGCAGTCTATGTGTGTTTCTATATTTCCTTGTTATGCAGTGTTATTGTACTCTGTGCTGCTCTTTTTTCTCTGTGAGAATGGAAGAGTCATGAAGGAGTATGGGCAAGGGAGTGAAGTCAGCCCACTGTGAAAGCCTTGTTTAAAAATGCAAGCAAAAACCCAGGCTGAGACAGCAACATTGAAAGTAGAACAAGTTGAAATTTTTCAAGCCAAAAAAACCTATCCTCTCCTTGGTGCTGAAAACCATGTTACATGTCTCTTTCACATCCAAGTTTAACCTTCTCCCTGCTGCCTATCCCCATAAATAATACAAATCTGGTGCCCAAAGGTTGCCTTAGCAGCCTGAAGGTTAAAGTATTGCAAAGGTGGCGTGGTGAGCCCAAGCCTTTATGGGCCTTTGCGACGATATAGCCACAGAAAGACTGAATACGGCCCGGCTGATGATACTCATTAAACTACTGCAAGATCCATTTCGCTGTGCTTAAGTGTATGTTTTTACAGGGAATGAGGAAAGTTAAAGTCTGATTTATATCGTAGACGTTACTATGGGCCTAATACTATCAACCGTGCACAGAATGGTGATCAAAGCTATGTCAGGTGGAACAAGGGCAAACTCAACTTACGGGAAGAAACACAAGGTTTGAGAACAAGAAAATAGACAATGTATGAAATCATGTACCTAGCAGGAAAACCTTCTATAGTGACCACCCAAGGGACTCTAAGAAAATGTACTTTAAATAGATGGCCACTAGAGACTTGCCAGATTTATTTCTGTTAGTTCCATAACATTATGCCACAAAATGATGTACATGTGCTGGCAGTGAATTTTTTCTTCTTTTGTCTTCCTGACAGGTGAATTTATAACTTCCTTATTGCTAGGTCTTTACCTAAAGGTTTTTGCCCAGAATTATAGGCAAAAAGTGGGTATTTTGTCTTCTTTACTCAATAAACTTAACCGCCAGTGATCCACACTTTCCCCAATAATAACTCGTCTCTATCTTTGTGGGATTCTTTTGTGAAAGTTTTTCAAGGCCTGTTTCTTGCAGAGTGAGGGATGGTGTATAAAGCTATTACGCCAGACACCCTGAGCGTTTGTTGATATTCCGTCCAGGCATTTCAGCAAATGTCATAACGCCTCCGGCTGAAAACGTGCGATAGCCCAGACTGAGCGTACGTCTGTCGGTTAAATGATCCGCTCGGCCATTAATAGCCCACACATTAGTTTAATCATTGCTGAAATGCACTGTTGAATTTCACGGCCTGTAATCACTGGGCAGGGTCCAAATGGAACGCCTGAACAGAATACCTAAGTGATGAGCATGTGGACAACATCTCTGTGCAGCCAAGAAACACAAGCATGCAGGCATAGCCTGGTTACCAGACCTATTAGCTCCCATGTCCTACATCCTCTCCGCAAATATGAGAGGATGTAGGACTCGGGAGTTAAGTTAGGTAAATGGTAACCAGGCTATGCAGGCAAGAAAGTTCAAAGTAACTTAAACCAGCTCAGTAAAACCAGCAACTGTTCAACTAGTCCTATCATAGATACAGATGCTGTACTAGGAAAATTTTCAGAACAGAATATTAAATGTGCATGTGGACAACGTCTATGTTTGACCAAGAACACAAGAACCGAGGAAAGTTATCTCAAACCAATTAAGCTTACTTCTCACTATTCCACTGGTCCTATTGGCCAGAGGTAATCGCAATCAGTGGAAATTGTGAGAAATGTCAGTCTGAGAATGATCTGGTCCCATTTGCAGCCTGGGAATAAACAGTGATGGGTATCACTTGGGAGGGAGCCCGAAGGACAGCACAGGACAGAAGACAGTGGAGAGCGGTGGAGGCCCGCATTGTCGATAGATGACTACAGCGGCGAAGATGATGATGATGATGATGAATAAACAGCTAACCAAAATGCGTATTTATGACCAAAAAAAAACTTCCATTCAAACTGTGTGAAGTTTTGTTGTGGTGTGACCAAGCTATCTAAAGTTACAGGCATATGTGTGGAATACTGCTTTCCTCGGCCCCCTTGACCAAACCAAGTCATACTGGCAGGAAAGTGAGCTCCAAATATAATATACAGCAAGCCAAGAAATACAAGTTGAAAACTCTCAGAAGCTTCTTTTGCAAACAGTTCTCCCCAGGCACCCATAGATCACTTAGTTTTCAGAAGGGGAATGAGCTGCTAATATGACATACAGCAAGCCAAGAATTACAACTTAAGTTTGACCGTTTCAGAAGCTGATTTGGCACAAACTTCTCCACAGTCAGGCACCCATAGATCACTTAGTTCTAAGAAGGGGAATGAGCTCCTAATATAATATACAGCAAGCCAAGAATTACAACTGAAGTTTGAGACTTTCAGAAGCTGATTTGGCACAAACTTCTCCCATGGCACCCACAGATCACTTAAGGAAGGGGAGAGGGAGTTCCTTATACAGCCAGCCTAGGAGATGGGAATCAGTGGAAACTGTGAGAGGGGAGATAGGATCAAGTCCCATTTGCAACCTGGAAATACATGTAGCATTTTCTTTTCAACCAAAACATGTGTCTGTAACCCAAAATCGAGAAGTAGAAAAACTGAAGTAACCTTTATTCAATGAGTTTCTCAGTGAACTTTCATCAAGGTGCCACCAAGCTATCTCAAGTTACAGGCAATTTGTGTATGCTACTTTCCTGGGCTGCCTTAAACCAACCAAGCAGGCACCCAGAAGGGGACCTCAGCTCCTAATATAACATACAGCAAGCCAAGAATTACAAGTTTGAGACTTTCAGAAGCTGATTTGGCACAAACTTCTCCACAGACACCCATAGATCACTTAAGGAAGGGGAGAGGGAGCTCCTTATACAGCCAGGCGAGGCGATCCCAATCAGAAACTGAGAGAGCTGAGATAGGATCAAGTCCCATTTGCAACCTGGAAATAACAGTTTTTTTAACCAAAATGTGTGTTTCTAAGCCAAAATCAAGCAGTAAAAAAGCTGAAGTAATATTCAATGAGTTTCAAAAACTGAGTGAAGTTTCATCTTGGTGCCACCAAGCTATCTAAAGTTACAGGCAATTTGTGGAATGCTACTTTCCTGGGCTGCCTTAAACCAACCAAGCAGGCACCCAGAAGCTCAAGGGGACCTCAGCTCCTAATACATACAGCAAGCCAAGAATTACAAGTTTCAGACTTCCAGTAGCTGATTTGGCACAAACTTCTCCACAGACACCCATAGATCACTTAAAGAAGGGGAGAGGGAGCTCCTTATATAGCCAGCCGAGGCAATCGCAATCAGTGGAAACTGTGAGAGCCGAGATAAGATCAAGTCCCATTTGCAACCTAGAAATAACAGTTTTTTTTAACAGTAGAAAAACTGAAGTAACCTTTATTCAATGAGTTTCAAAAACTGAGTGAAGTTTCATCATGGTGCCACCAAGCTATCTAAAGTTACAGGCAATTTGTAGAATGCTACTTTCCTGGACTGCCTTAAACCAACCAAGCAGGCACCCAGAAGGGGATCTCAGCTCCTAATATAACATACAGCAAGCCAAGAATTACACGTTTGAGACTTTCAGAGGCTGATTTGGCACAAACTTCTCCACAGACACCCATAGATCACTTAAGGAAGGGGAGAGGGAGCTCCTTATACAGCCAGGCGAGGCGATCCCGATCAGAAACTGAGAGAGCCGAGATAGGATCAGGTCCTGTAGCCAGCCTAGAGTGAACAATGCAAAACCTGCCGGCATGGCAAGATAAGGATTCCATCACCCCGGAGTGTCGTCCCTTCTCACCGACGGCAAAACTTGCAGCGAGAGCGCAGTTAGGAGAGATTGAAGGCTGTTGTATCGATTTCCTTAAGTATAAAGAAAGGCATGTCTTATCTTTCAAGGCCTTCTGGTGCGTTGAATGATGCTAATGTACCAGCACTGAGCTGGGTTTGACTAACAGGAGCTGGAATTTAACGATTTTTCAGGAAGATTTCTTAGATACCAGCCTTCTAAGGCCACACAAATTCAATTTCTTGATTCTCTCACTATTGTGTCTTCTTCTGCATAGAGCTTACATACTAGTATTTTACAAGCACTGAGTTGGGGGTTAGACAAAACAAATTTTAATAAGCCAAACCCAAAAAATTTAGTCTAAGATTGTATGCTGAATAGAAGAGTCACTTGTTCTGATTAGAATATACAATGTCATGTAGTCTCCTGTGACACTAATTATAAGTCTTTTATGTATGTTGTATGCAATATACAATAATTGTATGTTGCAATTAGACCTCGGGCATGAATTTCCAAATAACTTTCAATTAGAAAATACATGAATAAGTACCATTCTAACTACCTGAGTGTACTCTACAAATTTAAACATATTTGTTTACAACTTTACTAATTGGAGTGACAAACTATAACGGTTTAAGGATGACTTCTATCGATTTCTGAATCAACATGTATCTCCCAGCGTCTACCGTTATGTTAAAGAATGCTAATGTGGCAGCACTGAACAGAGGGATTCACTTACAAAAGCTGGGATTGAATGATTTTTCCAGCTCCAAGGACACTATGCATCAAGGCAATCAATGCTGACACAGTCATGTACTAGTAGGTTTGCAAAACTTTTTGGCAATTCCCAGGTGATCTTGGTTTACTTAATAATTTGCAGAAAGCTAAAATAATGTCTTGTAAAATATTGCCACAACAAAATATTTCTTAATTTTGTTCTCAGACAAAAAGGAAAAAGACCATTTCAGCAAGCGGAATCATCATAAAAAAACATAGCCTAAGGGATTGGGAGGAAAATATCAACATCACAATGTTCACAGAGTCTGTAAGTCTGTTCTTTGGTGCACAAAATTTCAGGGAGTGAACAGAGTCTAATGTAAGTTTTTCATGATGTCCTCTTTCTAAAATTTAACATCAAATTATCCAATGAATCATATTGGTGTGGCCTAAACAAAACAAACAAGAAACGCTAGATATTTCACAGATATGTGATTTCTTAGGACTGTTGCTAGAGACACCGTCTATTGAGCTCAGCATGTCCAGTCTTCCCAATCTTTCAGGTGTAATAATTCAATAAACACATTATCTTGTCTCAGTTCATCTTAGAAGGCCAGACAATTTGTTTTGTTCTCCAAACATGCACTCTGGGTCATTGAACTCTAAGAATTTGTCCATGAGTTCGCAATTATTTTCATCCAGTGACCTGTTAAAAACTAGCCCTGGGGCGTACCTATTAAAAAGCACTACAGCCAGCTACAACTGGTCACAGCCGACCTCAACAGGGTCTTATACGCAGCCAGTGTTTACGTATATGGGGCAAGGACCTGTAGATACATTGTGTTAGAGATACAAATAATTAAGTATTTAGTACCTTTAAGCTTTTTTTTCAGCGGTTATTCAACTTGATTTAATCATTCAAAGCTGTTGTGTCTACATGAAAAATGTTTGGGACACTGCCAACAATGCTAAAATTCTATAGCAGGGGAGACTATAAAACAATTGCAAGCAGATTCTTATGATATCAAGCAAAACAGAGAAGAAACAAGCCCGGTAATCTGGGTTTAGCCCTGAATGTTAAACAGTCCTATTCTAAAGCCTTGTACTGTTGAGCAGAGCTAAATGTTAAACATTGAGTCCAAGTCCAATTTGTAAAGCTTTGTACTGCTGAGCTGCCAGACAAAATTTGGCAAACATCCTTAGGTTAAACATTAAGTTTATGCCCTATTCTCAAAGCTTTGCAGTAATGTGGAACTGAGCTGAATGTTAAACATTAAGTTTACATTGTGTAAGTCCATTCCTAAAGCTTTGTACTGCTGAGCTGACAAAACTTGGCAAACATCCTGCCGGCCATGCCACATGTATAACTCCTCAGCTGCCTGGCATACGGCCCAGTCATGTTCAACTTCTCTAATCTCCAAGCAGATCTTTTGGTGGCTACATTAGACAGTAGGAAATTGGCCAGCCAGTATCAAATTGACACCTGGCTGTATCCAATATGCCTCCAGAGAGGAAAAAAGATACAAGTATGAAAACAAATCCTGATAAAAAGGCCTAAAAAGCTGTCGGAAATAAGCCGAAGCCTAAAACTCTGCTTGGCGAGTATGTGACCTGCACAGCTCTTCAGTTCCCTGGCAGGCGGCCCAGTCATGGGTGAGTAGGCAGGGCAGGGCAAGCTGAGAGGTCGGCATTGATCTGTTAGGGAGACCTCAGCTGAAATTCAACAAGACCTTCTAATAAAATGGACAGATCTAGAGGTTCTCTATGAAGTGCACTTGCTAGAGTTTCAAAACAAGCTGCTAAGGGGTCCAAACAAACAAATTCTTCATGTTTCTTATAGTGTTTCTATCTGCCACCCAAAAATCATGACCCTAGCATGTCCAGGATATGAGATATCAAACCAGAAGTTCAGCACCAAGGAAAGCCGCCAACCCGTGCAAGAATTGTGTCATAAAACAATTATAATTAAACCATTTGAAAAAAAATATTTATGAATTAATCTTCTAAACACAACTTAAGCAAACATACAAACACGCCAAAAACAAGACCTCTGCACAAGGGAGTAACAAACATATGCATGTACATGTCACTCAAGGCTGCAGTGCCATTTGGGCACATTACCCAAACCCACTATAAGCTCCCATGTTGATAAATGAAGTATCTCCTACATTTCCTACATTTGAACCTGTCACTTCTCCCTGCTCTAATTGGCACCCTTGGGTGGCTAATGCATCGGTTATTTACACATCCCCACGCTGCTGTGGAAGGGCAGGTTTATTTCCTGTAATTTGCAGTCGTGCTGGGCGCCAATTTCCAGCAAAAGTGCCTGGCAGCAACAGAATTACAGAGCACAGCAGGCAAGAGCAAGTCTATCGGTTGTTTCATCCACTCACAAGTTCAAATACATGTACATGTACACATGTAAGTGCTCTGATCATGGCCATACATGTGTCTAGCAAGGGATGAAGAGGATAAGTAAGTAAGTACTTGGAGTGCTACAAAAAATACATACATGTGTACAGTTGAAGGTAACAATGAAAGTTAATAACAAACTAGAGAAGTAGCATTTGCAAAGCAAATGCATAATGTTTACCTTCGGACATGGTCTGCCCTGTTAATTCTTACTCAAGCACATTCACATACATGTGCTACGAGTATATGGTGACAGGAGTAGGGCAGACCATGAAATTGCAACATCATGTAACCCAACACCAGTCACCATGGTGACAGACATCAACAAATCTTGTCATTGGTCAGGTCAGAGGTTAGTGTTTGGAACAGAAGAGGAGGAGGAAGAAACTGAGTAAAAACAATATGTTTTCCTTCGGTAAACATAAAAATAATCAAAAAGATTCAGTTTAAAAAATGGTTGGATAATGAGTCCCCTAGTGGCTTTTTAAGGTACTGCAGCTGATGCCATCCTTCTGTCTTAATTTTTTGTTGCCAGGTCTGTGGGTCTTGTGACATACATGTACCATCTCAGGGCTCAAAAACTGTTTTGGTTACATGTACCTGCAGGTAACATAGAAAACTACCTGCACCAGACAAATTCTACCTGCACCACTCAGAATTTAGAAAGTATGGATCATTCTGAAATTTTTTCAGAAGCAAGTGTCATTTGTTGGTGCATGCTGATTTTAAACATTACCTGCACTGGTAGAAAAAGTATTTTGAGCCATACATGGCCATAAATTTGTATGTGTACTAAAGTATATCTTCTACATTATCTACATTAGAGAGTATATATAAACTGTCCCTACTTTCTCCGTGAGGCCTGGCGGGTTTCTTCTGCCGTATGGCCATGAGGATGAAGAACAGCACCAGGGGGATGAACAGCTCAAACGCAGCCACCCACTGGGAGGGAACAAGGAAATAGAACTGTTAATAAATGTTTACTTTTACTAAATGCTTGATTATCCTGAAAGAATAAGAATTGAGAAGATCATTGTTTTTTTTTCCAGTAGCACATGTCTGGTGAGTGACAACAGCCTTGATTCAAACCCTTCATCTATTGGCCTGGTGACTGGTCATTACCATGTTGCGATGGATAACTGGACGTGATGCCCCATGAGGGTCTTGTCCAGTATACCCAAGACAATATTCCCTTACTTCAAACAGTACTAGTATGTGTCCAATAACATATGACTATGACTATCACCCTGGCCAATTTTACCAACATATTACATAACAATATTCACATCATAGATATACATTGCACATGTATACACAATACGCATCTCAATGAATCATATATCATAATTTTCTTATGAGATGGCCTCAATAGACCTATGACGAATGCAAATCAAACTGTGCATCCATGCATCCAAACACAGACATGGCAAAACAACGAGGACACACTAATTACAGCTTTTACCACCACTCCATATATTATATAGATCTGTTAAATTACTTTAAGGCTTAAATCACTCAGATCTACAAATGATATTTCTGCTTGTGTTTAGAAAAAATTGATAATCTTTATAAAAAAACCTATAACTAGTTTTCACAAGACAGCTGACCTCAAAATGCAATGATAGATAGGAAAATTTGCCCCCTGCCCATGGCCCAGAAATTTTTCAAAGATAACACCAAGATTTTCACACATGAAGGACAGAAGATTGATTGTCTTCCCAGAATGCTTCGGTGCGTTGTTCCTAAGGAACACCCTCTGGGGCGGAAATCGGGTCTCGGAGGCCGCGTTTCTTACACAAAAGTAGGTCACACAATTTTCGTCTTAGCGACGACCTGAATAAAAGATGAAGGAAGATGTCCCTGTCCAAGGGTTTCGTATCGTAAATTCATGATCAGGGACTCAATTTTACTTTTTAGGGGTTGCATGGTGGAATGAAAAGGAGGTTTTTCCTGAGTTTGAGTTTGCTGTTGAAACCGTGCAGTATCAATCACAAAATACATTTTTGGTGTCAGGATTTTATCACTGCAAAAATCAAACCACCCTGAACATGCCAAGATTTCATTAGTATATAATGTTATAATATAAACCATACATTCAACACTTTTGGAGATAACACCACTAAATCATGATTATGATAAATTTTGAAAAAAAAGCGGGCCATTCAGTATTACATTATATAAAGTGTTTTGTCCACCATAGTCAGTATTCAACCTGTTCCTGACATAAAATATTATTTTCTAAAGGATTCAGCTTTCTCAGTGAGTTTCTCAGAGCTTTGATACAGGCCAGACAATATTCACATAGAAACAGTTGGTTGTCTTATCTTACTGCAAGCTAGATATATAATCCCTACCCTCTGGCTATGAATTACATTCATAATCCCTGACAGTACAAGCTATCATTACAGACTTATCAGCTTTAATGAACTCGCACGTCTTGCTGTGGTTTCTTATGTTTCACATAACTTAAGTATACCTTGAAAAAGAATCAAGCTTTAAAATTCGTACTGGGTACTTTTAATTTCCTGACTTTTAGTTTGCAAGATTTAGAGCAACGGCCATGTTACAAGCTTTTGCCAACCTGTATGCAACTAGACATTACCATGTCATTACATGCAATTATGTCCTAAGCCTTCGGTTTTTTTACAGGCCTGGATACTAGTAATTAAATTTGAAAAGTTGACATATCTCAACTGAAATTTCAAATTCTACCTACCAACAGTGAAAGCTTTTTATGCTTTCTTGACCTGTTTGACAGCAACAAGTGTTAAAAAACTACATGTATATTAAAAATAAAACATTTACCAGCCTGGAGATCTAAAGGTTCGAATTCCTAGAAATATTAATTTTTTCTGGCTGCAATCTAAATAATTGACTGGCTGTAATTAGGTATGCTTCGAAGGTGAACCAAGCCTCTAGGCTCTTTGATGTTCGCTCCAGAAATCGTCAGTGAAAAGCAAAACAATATGGCATTCCTGCCTGGGTGTGTCATCATACATGTACAATGACACTGTGACAACTGGTGAGTGACGCAATACCAAATGTAACATTACTTAGTAACGGTGTAACAAAAATGTGGCAAACTGTGTCAATGCAGTGTTGCCACACTATAATTGTATAATTGAAATATGACATGACGTTGTTCGTGACATTTAAGAAATTAAGGTTTCCGGTTGGTCTGCTGCGTATATGTTTGTAAACAAAAGGATCCCCAGCTGTTCAAGTATCGAGTAACCTGATCTAGTTACTGGACACCAACAACAAACGTCCTTTTAAACCCTTTTAAAACACATTTTCTGTACGTCAAGACGTCAAACCTTTAAGACAAGGCAAGGAGAAGACGAGGTGACTTACAGGGCTGCGTTTCTTGAGGGTGAAGTTCTTCCAGAGCAGAAGACGGAGCTGGTGTAAGAACCCCATCTTGTCGTCTTGTTGGCAGCTGCTCGGCTCAGCCCGACCTGGCGGTCGCTCGCGACAACACAGGAATATTCGTCAGTAAATTAAGAGACTGTACGGCAGACTCACGCCTCTTTCGGGTCCGTGGAAGCCTCTGCTACGAGGCACAGTCAAGACGGGGAATTTTGAAGACGTGTTGCACCGGCTGGCCCGAGAAAAAAATTTATAAACCTAAGACATAAACGGGACGATGGTCCCGTCTTCTCTACCAGCCTTGGTGCATGCCCGGGCGGTCGCGCAAACGGACCCCAGCCTTTTCAGGGCGATGCTAGCGCTCCATGATCGCTATAAGGTCCTGCTAAGCTGCAGCATCCATCTACGATTTGAAAGAATCGGTCCTCAGTGCACCTGACCTGTACTTGAGCCCCGATCGAGCTCCGAACTCAGACCTTCGCTCGCAATCTGCAACCAGCTGGGCCTGATCTGGCACGGACCCTGGTACCCTCACCCCCCGAGCCGCAGTGGAACGGTCCGCGGGTCACAGGGCAGGGATTATCACGCTCTGATTGGTCAATCTTGTATCACCTTTGACCCGCAGGTCAGAGCAAGCATGGCGGGATCTGGGATGAAAAAGTTGGAGTGTAAAGATTTGCACGGTTATCTGAAGACTTTAGGGGCGTCTCTGCTGGATGAATTGTACGGGAGGCCAGCAACGTGTCTAGCAGTCTTCAGGTAAGTCAAGAAAAGCAGGGTTGGTGCTTTCGTTTCTTCGCTAGAGGGATATTTTTTATGGCGAATGTATGCATATTAATTTGTTGTGCTGCGTGCATGCTGGTATCTTGACGTGTCAAAAGCTTTCCTTTACACTGGAATAAATTTGCCTCAAAATCAGGGAACTGTAACATTTCAATCGATTTGCATGTATCAGAATAATACGGGCGACCTCCATCACGTCACGACCAGCGAGTCGTAAATTATATGTTGGGTGATTTGCCTACCAATAATCTGCATATGTCTTAAAATAATTTGCATGTACATAATTTTGTATATGATGTAAACAAAAGCAGCGATCACTTACATATATTTCTAGGAAGGTTGTGTCATTGTAATATGAGCTGTTGACTATTTACTATGTAGTGTTTGTATAATATTACTAGTATGTACATGATGATCGTGATTTGATAAGAAGTTGCACATGCCCAGTGCCAAAGATCTAGGAAGGCCTACGAAACGTAAATAAAACATATTAGAACAACCAGACCTAGCCGTGGACGACTCTGTAAACCTTTTTGCATGATAATGCCATTGACAGCATGTCCAGATGCCGTTTGTTTACGTCTTCCTGATTTTTTACACTGGCCATGTGCAGACTCTTATTGGTCTTAAATGATGAACCTCTGGTTATTTTCATCATAATTTCCCAGGGAGCTGAGTGAGCTAGCGAAGCACTACGTGATGCGGCTGTTGTTCCTGGAGCAGGCGGTTCCACAGGCCGTGGTCGGGTCATGGGTCGCCAGCGGCAATCACAAGTATGTTTGTTTGTTTGTTTGTTTGTTAAAGCGAAAATGAATTTGCTCATCAGTGCAAGCACAAGAGACCACATTTAGGCATTGAATTAAGTTCAGGTCACTTTGCATTTATGTCTAATTAAACTTAGAAGGAAAATTACACTGTTTCTGGCGTGGATTTTGACCACTCCTACATTACCAAACCTACCCTCCCAGCAGAGCTGTCCTGAGGTTGGCCCTGAAGGTGGGACTGAGGATCCAGCCGAGTGAATTTATGTTAGTGGCTAGACTAACAGACACAAGGTCGATGAGTTGTGGCCTTAGTAAAGACACTTAACATGACTTTCTTCACTTCACCCAGGTGTAAAATTTATACCTACCTGACTTAAAAGGTAAAAGTTAGTAAAACTAAAGAAGGAAGGATGGGCTCTGCCCTCCAATACTGTGCCCTACACACAGTGGATTAACAATATAACCCACTGCCCCTATATAGGCCTACATACTCAAAAAAGCTGTTTGATTACCTTTACCATGTTTACTTACCTCTAATATGTTTGCAAACCTTACCTTTACAGTGAGCACCTGCGAGCAGTGTCCCAGCTGACTGAGCTGCGGGTGTGGCATGAGCACCAGATCTCCGGCGGGCTGGCCGGCTGGATCCTCAGTCCCACCTTCAGGGCCAACCTCAGGACAGCTCTGCTGGGAGGGTAGGTCAGGTCATGTGGGAGTGGTCAAAATCCATGCCAGAAACAGTGTAATTTGCCTTAGTTTAACTAAACACAGGAGTTTAACTTCTTTTTTTTTACTAATAGCCTGTGTTTGCACAATCTCTCACTGGCTGGGGTTATTTGACCCCCTGAAATCCCCCTGCTTTATGTGTGTTTGACCACAAGCCTGTGTTACTTCTTTACATGATAGTATCTGTGTGTTCCCTTAGTTTGCAAACCATTGGATATTATTTTTATGGAACTAACAAATTGTGTTTTGTTATGTCCCTGCAGAGGCAAACCCTGGTTCAGTGCTGTGCAGCTTCCTCCAGACAAACATGCCAAGGATGTGGCTGCTCTGGACACATACTCCTTAGAGAGATGGGAGGTACAGCCTTTATGCTACATGACTACTAAAAGTATATCATGATACCTTACACAGTATATTATCTCAAAGAACAATTAAAGTAAACAGGAAATGTGCACTGCTGCTCTAATGACATTTCAGCATTATTTTGTAAAAACAGACTACATGTATTTTGATCAGAGTTTATTGATGTATTTTAGCTTATTTGTGTATCATATACAAATCATATACATGTACCTTTTGATGACAAATATATCTTCTGTACAGGTCCTACTGAACTTCATTGTGGGATCAGGAGAGGCTCAAGTCAGTAAAGACATCATGGAGATTCTGGTCAGGTCAGGGCTCATGAAGAGGTAAGTTGTATATTTAGGGCTAGTTGCCATAAAATACATGTACAGTCACATATAAATCTGATAGTGTGCTCTGTATCGACTGGGGGGATGGGAGCTTTAGTAGTGTTTTATACATTGCAGAAAGGAGGAATAAAGGGTTTATGGAGATTGAGCTAAGGAAGCTAAATATTGTATCATTGATTACCTTTGTGGTGTAAAAGTTAAACTGTCCCCAACTCAAGAAAATTGGACTCAATGTTTTTTTTTTGAGTCGGAGAACAGTTTAACTTTTACACAGGGAATTTACCTACGTATTTATGTATGTATATATTGATTGATTGATTGCAGTGAGGAGGGAAGTCTCCATCCGACCATCACCCCAGCAGGTTTCCAGTTCCTCCTGATGGACACGCCCTCCCAGGTGTGGTACATCATCCTGCAGTACCTGGACACCATGCAGGTGGGAACAGGTCAAGTATTATAGGTGGTTCCCAGAGGGAAGAAGAAGTTGTAAGTCCCCAAGTCTTTTGAAAACTAAGATTTTTTTACTTTAACTTTCTACATGGGCACCAGTACAAGACCCTTAGAATCCAACTTATTTGTATGATTGAAATGAACTTGAGGATAAGAGCACTTACAAGAAAATGTGGAAAACCTTTAAAATCAGAAGTAGACAGCTGTAATTGAAAGAATCAATGATTATATATTGCTTTATATTTTCCCACAGAGTCGAGGGTTGAATCTTGTAGAGGCTTTGCAGTTCCTTTTTCAAATAAGTTTTTCCACGCTTGGTAAGGTAAGTAAAATGCTTATACTAGTGATAGTAAGATGCAGGGCTCCCTTCCAGTGTTCTGTTTTCATCTTGACACTTGCTATATTTTCACTTTAAATTGTCTGAGATTCAAGCACATATAATGATAATAAATTAGCACAGTCTTAAATATTTTATGGAGTTGTGAAATCCTTGATTTTTTGTTTCTTTATATTAAGAAACACTCCTCTCTCCCCTGCCAGGACTACCCCACAGAGGGAATGAGTGACTCTATGCAGCAGTTTCTGCAGCACCTGCGAGAGTTGGGTCTGGTCAACCAGCGCAAACGGAAGTCCGGCAGGTTCTACCCAACAAGACTCGCCATCCACCTCGCTTCAGGTAGCTACAGGAGACATTCAATAGTCATGTTTACTTTCACAGAAGGAAAACATAATGTTTTTGCTCCATTTCTTCTCCGTACAGAAGGTTAGAGGCCTGGACCAGATAGCTGTCACCATGGTAGCTGGTGCTGTAGCAGATAACCTTGTGTTGTCGACGTTTTATATTATGTAGCAAGTTGCAGGACAAAGTTGGAGAGGCTCACTATATATATGAATTGCTGTTTGATTGCCAGATAGCAACATGTATCTTACACATTGACTGAGAGTTGAAAATTACTTTTCCAGGTATTTCAGATGTGGAGAAAGACTTTCACAAAGAGGGGTACCTGGTAGTGGAGAGTAACTACAGAATATATGCATACACAGGTCAGTGTGGAATCATCATAAGTGTAGTACCAATATCACTAAAAAAAACATTTTTTGTATTCCCTGTTGATTCCGTCACGTATCAAATTGTTTGATGTGTGCATGATTTCTTTATAATTCCATCCATTTTCTTTGAGATGTTTTCATTTTGATGCTGGACTAAGTCTTGTACTTCTATGATCATTCTAGCTCTACTCAGGGCCATCAGGCCTTTGAAATCTGTTGACGTCAAGTGTATGTAGATCAATAAAGACATTTATTCAAAGAAATTAATAGAGAACCTGTACAGACATCAACTCTCTTGTTTTATTTTTTCAGATTCGGAGCTTCAGGTGGCTCTTATTGGGCTTTTTAGTGAAATTCTGTACAGGTAGGTGTACATTTTGTAGCACTCTAACTTTACTTTACATTGAAAAATTCACGTTCTAAATAGCAAAAGGGGGTGCTTTCATTAATCATGAAGTCTTTATTTCTTGGCTCTTGGTTCAAGGTTGACTTTTTTTTAACTGTCCTTTTTTCGTCAGATTTCCCAACCTGGTTGTTGCAAACCTGACCAGAGACAGTGTCCAGGAGGCAGTGGTGAGAGGGATCACAGCCGAGCAGGTCAGAAAAGGCTAAGAAGTCATGAAAAGAACGTCTATCTTCATACCCATAGCAAGATGTACATATAAGTAATATGTAATATACAAATTTGATGATCTTCCTATTTTCCCCACAGATTCTCCATTTCCTGCGAGTGAATGCACATCCCAAGGCCCTTCACAGAGTATGTTACTGTGATTCTCATTGCATGTAGCAATTTTGTATAGATTATGGTCACTTTGATCAACAATTGAAAACTTGGTAAATAGTCTGAAACCTGTGTTGAAATCTTTTATTAAGAGATATTTGACTCTAAAACTTGTTGGAAAGAGATAAGAATATCTACTTCCATTATACAGTGTTTTTAATCTTAAGGTAATCAGTACTAGTACTGTCTTAGTGTTTAACTAATTTTTTTTGGTTCTTTATCCCCCCCCCCACCAGATTCCAATAGTTCCTCCCACCATCAGTGATCAGATCAGGCTATGGGAAATGGAGCGGGACAGGTTGACTTTCACTGAAGGTAGGGGCAGGGTTATTCCTCAATAATTTCTTGCCCTTCAAGTCTAGGATATCATATTCCTTAAATTTTTTCTCTTCTACTCTGTACTAAACCAAGTAATACCTATAGAACCTATGCTTGTCAGTTAAGAATTTGTGGTACATCAAAGAAGACTATTTTATTTGTCAAGCTCTAAATTCTTGATGTGAGCTGTGAAATTTTTTTCTAAGTGACTTTTCTTCATCTGTCCCCTTCAGGTGTCCTGTATAACCAGTTCCTGTCACAACCAGACTTTGAGATGCTCAGGAATTATGCAAAGGTAAACAGGAATTTTATCAGCAAGATTTTCAGGGGCACTAGTGGTCTTTCTTTGCTTTTAGAGAAAGAAAATATTATCTGTCTTATATTCAAAGTTTTGATGCAGTGTTGAAATATTTTTTCCCTCTGTTAACCATCTTTTATAATATCTAATTAACTGGGTGTACTAGTAGTAGGATTAGAATTAGAATAGGGACAAGGGATTAAAACAGGGACAGGGGCATCACTACCTGAAGCCTGTACATGACTATCTCCTGTCAATTGATAATCACATTGAGTCACATGACAAGAGAACTCCAAGACAAGATCTTTACCGGTTTGAACAAGAGACAGAGTGTGTCTAGAAAGCTCCCCAGAGTAGCTAACTTTTTGTTGCGCGTTTTGTTATAAATATTCAAAAAGATTTTAGAATTTTTCTTCTCCAATTCCAGGACCAGGGTGTTTTACTGTGGGAGAACAACTCCAAACGATACATGGTGGTCAGCAAAGGTGGACATGACGACGTCAAGAGATACTGGAAAACCATTCGGAAAGGAAACAGCTGACATCGGCTCTACCAAACACAAATCTTTCATTCCATGAAAAAACTCTTTTGTTACTTTATACAGAGTGTAGCTGTCATAAAATATTATCTCAAGACATTTTCCTGAGAAGACTGATGTCGTGTATTGAGCGTCCATCCCTATTGGCTGTTCTCCTCAGCTGTTGCCATAGCAACAGGATAGTGCAGAACTTCTATGACGCCATCCTCCTGACTTGTTGGTGGAACTATCCTTAAATAGGAAACCTGCAATAGACACGTAATTTGATACAATTAGTTTTGTGAATCGCCATCTTACCAAGTTAGATCACATTTGGTAGAGCCTTGTAACTAATACTTGTACAGGTAACCGTACCTGCAAAATATTATTACTAGCTATACATTGTTGGTACAAGTCCTTACCTAAACATGTGGTATACCTACACTGGAACAAACTGAAATACCTTGATAGTGTACAAGACTTACTATTGTATAATAAAATGTACAAAAAAGTACAACACTATGTTTATACATGTAGGTACATTCAGTAAGTGTTTCTAACCCACCTCCTCAGCATCCACCCAGGCTCCTGAGTTAGCAAACAGAACATCCCTCCCATGGCTGCCAGTGACTGACCCCACTGCCCAGTGGTGGTTATGTCCCAGAACTACCAGGTCCTCCTCACAGGATTCAATTAGGGGAGAGAAGTCATCCAGATACACCAGGAACATCTGAAACACTTTCTCTACACCCTCCTGGGAGTGGCATAGACAAAACAGTCAAACTTTTATCTACAAGTGATCATGACTACTTATGCATATGGACCTCCTGGCCATTCTTACACAGTCAAACCTGTACAAGTGACTACCTCTACATAAGGACCACCTGGTCCTTGATATGCATTCATCTATCAAACCTGTACAAGTGACCACCTCTGCATAAGACTACCAGGCCAATGTGACTACTTTTTATGGTCCCTTAGATAATTTTTCCCATTGACACAAGCATTAAGAATCCTGTCTAACGATCGTATATTTTACTTACTAATATGTAAATAAATGACAGGGAAGTTTACTTTCGTCCTTTGCTAATGTTTCACAATAAGCCTAAAATGGGATGTGAACACAAACTATGTACTGGTCCTTCAATTTAGATAATACAAATTCATATACATGTACTTTATGCATAGAAATGTATTCCATAATACTGTGTGTTAAGGGTATGTAACGTTAAGTACTCAAGTACCTGTTCACATAACCGTTCCATAAAGTTGAACTTCGGCAACTTTCTCACGGGCACGTACGTCCCATCATGCATCCTGACCACCTCGTTTCCATGGATACTCCCGCCAAGTGCCAGCTGGATGATCAGAGACAGGAGGTCCTCTCGTATGTCGGACAGGCACAGGAGTTTCATGATGTCTGGTCCTGCGCTCCTCAGCAGGGCGCGAAACTGGGCCTTAGCTGTCCTTTGGGAAGGAAACTACAGATTTGAATTTGATCACAACGCAAGAAAACTTGAGATTCTTCACATTTTGGACATTGCCTAAAGTTCACTCGGATTTTTACATGTTTTATAGAAAATACATGGAGTGGGTGGGCTGAATAAAAAAAAGCTTTTGCTTTTGGTGTCTCTGGCCTGGTATTAAATCTTCAACTTCTTGTTTAGTGTTTTTGTACAGGTGACGTGTGTACTTACTGCAGTGTTTTGTCCGTGCCGTCTCCCACAAGCAGCCTGTTGATTATTCTGTAGGAAGCCAACCTGGAACAGACAATTATCAGAAAATTTATCTAAAGCTAACAGTTTACGACATTTCACTTTACATTGATAAAGTTAATGCTGGAGGGGACAGTTGGCATTTGATTTACGCCAATTTTCTTTGCGGGCACGGTTCTGGATAGTCTCCGCGTATTCAAGAACGTAGATTTGCACAGTTCTCCATACGAGTGGGCTATCCAGAACCCTTCTTAATCATTGTTCTGGATAAAGCACGGTTCAAGATACAACACAATGTACGCAATGCTTTATAATTCTCACCTGCACACGTAGTACGCAAAGGGTCGCCCGCCCACAAGTCCGCAATCTGTGTCCGCATGTGAGTATGAGTTCATCAGATCCCAGATGTGTCCGTGTTCGAACCTGATCCGGTACTCCTGATGGTCGGCACTGATGGTGTACAGGAGAATTCCTGGGATGAATCGAACCTGGCGGGTTAGGAAAATATCAATGTAACGTTCTAAGCGTTAGCAACATGGCAAATATCAATGTAACATTTCAACCAGAATAAAAGTTAAGTCATCGGAAAGGGAAACTTTTTGTTAAGTCACTCAATGCAAGAACCATTCCCCATTCGCTGAATAATGTGTATAGGGTAGTGACTATAGCCAATATTTACCCGGTATTCGATTCGAATGGGTGTTTTAAACGTGTTCGTTGGAAGGCCTCTGGAAGGTTCGAGTTCGAACAGAAGCCTTCGAACGAACAGGTGGTTAGAACACCCGTTCGTTCGAACAGGTGGTTAGAACGCCCGTTCGTTCGTTCGAACAGGTGGTTAGAACGCCCGTGTGTTCGAATATCTCCTGCACACATCCCTAAAACAGTTCCATACCTTTTTACGGAATAAATGATGAACCATCGCAGCCGTGATCTCGTGGTCGTGGTTACCTCTGACGTAGTACACGTCCACGCGGTGCTCCTCCGCCATTCTGCACACGGCCTGGGTGAAGGCCCTGCAGACGGCGTCCGCCTCCCAGTGCGCGAGGAGGTCCCGCTCCGTCCACGCCGCCTCTGCCGCAGCCTGCACCCACATCTCGAAGATGTCGCCCAGCAGAATGACGGAGTGGACCTTTCCTTCCGCCGCCGCCGCCATGATGTGAGACAGCGCGCCTTCCAGCTGACTGTGCCCGGGACAGACGGCAAGGGGTCTTCCCAGATGGATGTCGCTCAGGACGTATATTTCTCTCTTATTTCCCGACGTTGCGCTGATCTTAACTTGGACCACTTCTTCCCCAAAGGTTTCGGCTGGTGGTTGGTAGGGCTGTGGTGGGTTGGTCTCCCCAACTTTGCGCTGCCAAGTGACTTTGTAGGGACACGGTCTGTCTTCGGACTCGTCTCCAAATTCCGCCTCTTTACTTCCATCGTTGACTACTTCGTTACCACTTTGATTCTCGGTGTCTTCTTTAGAGGGCTGCTGCCTCCTTTCTTCAAGTTTCGCACCAACTTCTTTAGGCGAGGCGTCTTCGCCTGTTTTGCCAGGTTCATCCTCTCCGTGCCCTCTGGTCACTCTTTGACCTTCACTGCTGCTAAGGTCATCTCCAGTAAGATGGTCGCTTAAGGAGAAGTCAGGATGGGACACTTCTGTGAGCTTTGACATGTCCAGGTGTGCGAACTGTTCGATGTTGTCAGATGAGGAGATGGCATGCTTTCGCAGGGCCTGTAGGTGCCTCTTCAGTTGTATATAGGGGTTGTCTTCCCCGTTTTCTTGACTACGGAGGAAGTGTGAGTAAGACTTAGCTACATACACAACTTCTCGACCTCGATAAACAATTAACCTGCATAGCATGTATCTCTAAAAGCAAGTCAGACAGACTATGCATCTGTATCTGCATAGCCGGTATAACCGCCCGTCGGCGTAAGACAACAGCTTCACAGGCACGCGGCGCGGCGGCAGCTGGCTATATTACACCGAACGACTTGTTCGTTACACCTAATCTTCGCACAATCTAACTGCAGGCGTTGTTCATAGCTTTCTAGCGACGATGCCCCCAACTGTACTTGGTGGAAGTTAGTTCCACGCTACGATAGTTTATAGGGAGGTATACGATGTCTACGTTTGGATTCATGTCGCTATTCGTCTCAGGAAGGAACGGAGAGTCACGAAACCAATAAAAAGGATCATGAACGACAAAATAATTCACCTTGCCATGTCCTGATCTGTCACGAGTACGCTCCTCACTTTCGTCTATGGGTGTGGCTCTGACGTCTTCTTAAGGCTTGCTGTTGAAGTAATGATTAGATTGTGTCCGTTAGGTAATGAGTTTAACGTTAACAATCCACACTTAGGAGTCAGAAGTGACTTTCCCATGCGGATTGCAAACTGAGGACATTCTTACGTACACAATCAACTTCCAAATGTGTTCCTATTGCGCACACCCATTTTACCAAAGTTACTTTTAGTAGTATGTTTGGTTTACATGTACAATGACGGTACAAGCTAAGTGTTAAACATAACGTTACATGTAGCCCCTGATGGATTAGGTCAAGAGACGTGTGGCCATGCACACAACAAACAGCGTGCGGAGAGATAAGCTGGCCTAGAAACCAGAAGTTTTGCTGGCACAGCCTAAGGTAAACAAGCGTCAGGACAAAGTCCCTGAGACACGGCCTTTACATTTGCAGTCTCTAGGTAACCCCCTTTTGTGGTTGAAAAAAGGGGTGAATAACTTGTACGGAACAACAATAGCCCTTAATGCGACGCGTTAACGTTGTGCTTGATGCGAACAGTACTTTATGAAAATCAAATCAATAGTCTGTGGAGAAATGTTTCAAGGTTGCTTAAAATTTCAACCAAGGAAAACCAGCCAACTCTACACTTATTGATCTATGATGATCTGATTAATATGACAGGGCAGAGATTGCAACCTGGCAGATTTTGCCGAAAGAGATCACGATTCTGCTGGTAGAGATCAAGACCCAATCGGAGTGTGGGAATTTTATGATATTCGCTTATAAGACAGAACTATTCCAAAGTCTGACTCACGACATTTTAGACCAATGAAATGGATTGACCATAAACCCAGGATTTGTAAGTGGGAGACAAGCCTAGACCTAACACATCCCTAGATTCCACAATCTCTAGCTATCACATAATATAGGTATACAAAACGTCGTCATCTCTTAAGGTGACGCATGATACTTTTAATTGGCCATCAAAGTGCAATGTGCCTTTGCTACAGCTCGTGTTTTAGCCCTTCCAATGACAACTAAAAAACATGAAAATTTCGAGCGTCTTTGAAATGAGAAAACGACAGTCACAGAGACACAGGGAGAGAGAAAGAACGGTACTGGTTCTAATATACAAATGGCCTTACTTCCTGTATAGTCTGCTTGCACGTCTTTCCCAACTCCCGATCCTAGCCGATATTTCGCCACTTGGCATCTGTGCCCGTGATCCACGGAAGAGATCAGGTCCCCACGTGTAAGTGTAGTAAGTCCCACACAGATAGAATCTAAAATATCAAATCTGGGACAGACTGAAGTCCACAGATTCGGAAGGTCTCGCCTTGTGACCGATGACCCAGCTGCGGTTCAACGTCCTCTAGGACGCTGAACCTAAACGAAATGGAGCTTTGCCAAACTACAGACCAATCCAATGGTGGGGTCTTCACATACACCGTGAGGTTTAGATGACTTTCTTTTGTGTAGGATTTTCTGTGAGGCTCTGATATGGGGCAACCTTTCTCGTTATTACTAGTGGTCGAATTTCGCAGGTTTACTGTTAACAGGTGGTTGTGAATAATGAACTTTGCCATTCCCATATCCACTACATTATACTGTCTCCAGTATGTCCTAACTTAAAGGTAACTTAAAGGTAAGCTTATCATAGAACTGATGTAACTACAAAGAGACACTCACAGGAATTTATAATATTTTGGTTTCTTTCGATTTTATTCAGTGGCAAGACTTCTAGACAGACATGAAGCAATGAAACTAAATTACAATATAGAATACTATCTTTCAAGTTGGTACATGTAGCAAATAATATGTAAGATGCAGCATTGATGACATCAGTTGTGTCACAACTGAAGCTAAAGAAAAGTCAACATTCTGCCCATCAGCCAACATTGTTGATTGAAGAATAGCTCTTATATATCATAATTCTGAAGATGACCCAGGTTGAACTCTGACATGGAAAGGCTGCAGTTCCGCATCAGTCAGCCATGAGGGCGCTCCGCTCATGGGGTCGTGACCTGCGTGGGATTTTGGGAAGGCGATGACGTCCCTGATGCTGTCAGTCTTACAGAGGACAGCCATCAGCCGGTCTAACCCTGGGGCAGAGGGCAGGGGTTAGAGGGCAGAGGTTAGCCACTCTGGTGCTCAATCAATCTAGGTCAGAGGTTATAGCTTAGCCATGCACCAGACTAGTAATCAGGAAAAATGGTTCAAGTTCAACCTAGGTCAGCAGTTATACCTATCTGTATTTTCAGGTATTGACACTTGTCCACCAGGCTATACCACACTATTTTCAGGAGGGGTGTTTTAAGACTGTTTTGTGTTATAATATTGTGATATCACCCAACTTTAAGATATAATTAGCATTACTTATAACATTGTTGTTAAATGTAGTTCCTGAAATTGTCAGCAGTTGCTGTTAGCATTATACATTATGTACAATATGTACTTCCTGGAGAATCACAGATTCCTTGTTTTACCAGTAATTGAGCAGAGAGGAGGTGACAGCTTACCTATAGCGATGCCCCCATGTGGGGGACAGCCAGACTGCAGGGCTTCCAGGAGGTGGTCTAAAACTGATGCATCTTCCTGGAGAATTGGGAGAGCAAGAGAAACCCAGCTGATCATTTCCTATAAACATATTCTTTGTAGAAGTCGTGCCTCTAATTTGCAATTGAAGTGATGTGGTGGCTTGAAAAGAAGCTACCAAGGTCTTCCACTAAACGGAATCAATTGTCTGGCCAATTTGATACTGTCTTGTAGCCAACAACAGATCAGCTGGAAGATTATAACAAGCAACATTCAGTCACAACAGCGTACCTTCAGGACTTCCTCCAGGATGTACCTCTGTAATTCCGCGTTGTGGATCCGGATGGAACCGCCTGCTATCTCATTACCGTTCAGAACCAGGTCGTAATGCTGGCTGCGCACCTGAAGGACAGGTGAGTAAGAGTGAATTCAAAAACAACATGAAAGTGATATTCCAACCAGTTTAGCTCAAAGCTGAACACACCCAACATAAAATGCCTATCTTACTACGTTAGACTGAGTCCTGTCTTACCTTGTGTGGTTGTGAGAACACCAGGTCTGTGTCCTCAGGATGTGGGGATGTGAAGGGATGGTGAGCCGACTCCAACCCTGAACCATCTTCTCTTGGTACAAACAGTGGGAAGTCGGTTATCCACAGGAAGTTGAAGACATCTGGATCCCTGAGGTGGACACCTGTAACAGGAAAGGGAGAAACTTTGAGAACCTCGAACCTCAAGTGTCCATTCATTTATACTCAAGTCAGTTATTCATCAAATTGTTTACACAATGCCATGACAGCAAGCAGCAGGTCAACAAATGATAACTAGTCGTTGGTTACATGCTTGAAAACAGCTAAACACAAGAATTGAAAATAAGGTGAAAAAGAAGGAATCCTACCGTGTGTTTCTAAGACATTGGCACACTCTACTCGTATTCTTCCAAGGAGCTCACACTGAAACGTCAAGATACAGATTCAATTTGTATCTTATGTTCCACATCATGATTAAGAAGTTTCCATCGTCTTATCACAAGTTTTATAGCAGTCAGCATGTCAAATTAAACAATACAGTGAGTCAACTTTATATTTCTGATGAAAAGATGTTCTCACAGTTTTGAGATGCTCCCCAGCAGCCAGCAGCAGCATGTCGCCTTCCTCTGCCTGCAGTTCCTGCAGCAGGGCTTTTTTACAGGGGGCGCTGATGTGCTTGGCCATCGGCCCCTTCACCTCACCTCCTGATACTACCTGTAGAACAGACAAGCCCTGCAACAAGGAAGGGTAAGTAATCTTGAGGCAGGGTTGCTAACCACTGGACTATAAATGCATGCACAATATAAAATACTCAGTTGGCTAACCTAAATATCACACCAATGTGTTTCCTTGTTTCCATGCCATTTATAACAACTTCAATATACTAATGTATTTCCATTCATGTTACAGACTCACCTTAGACGTGGCCTGTTTTGCAACATCCTGCAGTTTTTCTATATCTTTGGTCTTCAGGTGCAGCTGTGGAGAAACAAGTAGATTGTTTTTTTCTGTTATTCCATTTCCACCATCACAAAGTCAAAAATTTAGTTTGGTAGAGTGTTGGAAAGTTAGCTAGTTGGAGTATGTATATGTCACATATCTGTAAACTTTTCTTGTGTCCTGTACTTAATCTGTGAGTATGTTAATGTTACAATAAAGGTCATTAATTTCACTCACAGCTGCCTGTTTGGCATTGAAGGCCTGAACACTGTTTCCTGGACTGTCCTTAAGTAACCTCTCAAACACAGTGACCCCACTCGACCTCATGATGTCACTCACATCATGCAACTGAGGAAAAGAGGAGAACATGGGTAGAAATAAAGCTTTAAGAAAAACACAACTATTTTCTGTCTTCTAATTGGTAGATTGATTTTTAATATCTTGACTCACCTCCATTCCAAACCTAGTGTCAGGTTTGTCACTGCCGTACTGAAAAACAAAAAAAGTAGACAAAACAAAGCTTTATTAAGTCAGAAGAGTCTACTCAAAGACTTCTACTAAAACATGTCCCTGCCATTTGGAATGAGTTGATGGTCCCCACTCTAAGTTCATGAGACAAAACTGAGCAGATAACAGATTTATTTCAAAGAAGATCGACAAAATGTAAACAACAAATTAACAAAAAGTCTGAGCTTACCTTCTCCATAGCATCCTTGTAAGGCATTCTGGGAAAAGGCAGCTTGAGTGGAGCCTTCCCATCAGGCCATGCATGCTCCAGCAGCTCTTCTATTAACTGCTCAACCCCCCTCTGGTCAACAAAGGACATCTCTATGTCAACCTGCAAGGAAAAAAATGTGACAAATCATGATCATGATATTAACAAAGGATGATGATTTGATTTTTATTACAGCTTTTGAACTTTACATTATTCTATACAGTCTTGTAGTCAAAAAGGTTAAGTTTAAGGTAGTCCCACAGGCTTTTTGAGGTTGTAGGGACAGTGGATTGTTAGTCCACTGTATCTAGATGTAGGTCACAGTATTGGAAGGCAGAACACATCCTCCTTCTACTGCCTTGCCAACAAGTCAGGTACCCATTTTACACCTGGGTGGGGTGAGGAAAGTTGTGTGAAGTGCCTTTCCCAAGGTTACAATGTCTAGCCAGGGATGAAAGAAATTGAGCCTGTGAAAACTGTGTCTGTGCCTCACCTGTGTGAACTCTGGTTGCCTGTCTTGTCTCAGGTCCTCGTCTCTGTAACACTTGGCAATCTGGAAATACCTGCAGAAAACAGTACAAACTGTTTCAATAGGCTGTGCAGTATTATATGGACCTAAAGGTTGATACCCTGTGAATGATTTATTACAGGTAGTCAAGACACTGTATAAGACTGTTATCTATTGTACAACTACCAGTGGGTTGAGCATCTGTCACTTTTGTCAGAGTTAAGGCTAGGTTGGGGGTTTGATTTGAATCCCAGCTATTGTCACTTGCATACTACTCAAAAGCATCATGATATTACAGTCTTTAGGATGTGAAGCAACCATCCTATGAATTCTATAGATATTGTCTGTGTTTTTTCTTATGACCAGTGTAGATGACCCAGAGTGCAGATGAGTAGATTTTCAGTCTGTGCAACTGATTCAAGACACTCAATTGTGACTTAAGACACTCAATTTTGACTTAAGACCCTCACCTGTCCACTCCTCCCACCATAAGGAGCTGCTTGAACTGCTGAGGACTCTGCGGAAGACAGAAGAACTTTCCCTTTTCTCTGGAAGGAACTACAAACTCTCGAGCACCCTGAAATATGTACACATCATTATATTAAGACATAAAACAATATTGACAGAAAACAATTTATATAACATAAAGTACCATGATGATAAATTTTCTGGTGTTCTGAATGTGATTTTTGGACTACACTTACCCCAGGAGTTCTGCGGAATAGTGTTGGAGTCTCCACATCAACAAATCCTGAAATTTATAACAAAATTTGTCATGAACTGTTAGCACAAAAATTATGACTGTTTCACTACATAAGAATAATGAAAAAAAAACACCCCTGATAGTGATATAGGCAAAGAAAAACCAGATTCACATTATAGTAAACAAATGTTAGACTTTGAATATTTGTACATAGATATGAACTATAAGACGTAGAACAAAAACATTATTATGATAACTGTTCTACCCTACCTCAACTACTTTCTTCTAAACTAGAAAAATGAACACAAAATCACCGCTGACACAGGTAACCCACCATGTGTGTTGACGAGAAATTCCCTCATCTTCATGATGACCTGTGACCTGACCCTGAGGTTGTTCTGTAGCTGGGAGCCCCTCAGGTCCAGGTACCTGTGCTTCAGTCTCAGGTGTTCATTCACCTGCACCAGGTGGGAAAGGTTAAGGTAAACATAGTCCTGTAGCCTTTTTGAGGCCATACAGAAGATAAGAGTAAATATAGTAAATTTACAGCCTTGCTTTAGGCCATAGGGGCAGTGGGTTGTTAATCCACTGTATAATATTCAATGTATCCTCTGGTACAGTATTGAACGGTGGAGCTCATCCCTCTCCTTCCACTGCCTTCATCTCCCCAACAGAAGTCAGGTAATACCCATTTTACACCAGAGAAGAGTTCTGTTAAATGCCTTTTCCAAGGATACAGCATCTAACCAGGAATGCCAGGGACCGAACCTGTGACATCTTAATCTTGTGTCCACTAGCCTAATCACTTGGCTATTCAACACCACAGTGTTAGGATAATGTGTAGAATTATGATAATTCACATTGGATGTTTATTGACAGCAGTTCTTACCTGGAAGAAGTCCCTGATTTGGAAGGGGAGGATTTTACTCTTGTTGACCATCTCAACTTTACTCACTGACACCTCCACATCACCTGTAGCCATGGCCTGGGGAAACAACACAACAATAGGCAAATGAACAAAAAAAAACATTCTCATACAATAAACTTATATACATGTACGATTCATGCATGTACAGTATTTGAATGAAGGTTCATTTATGGTGGAAGTCAACATCACAAAGATTTCATACTCAAGTTTCACCTGTCTGTGTGTGAGTCAAGGGAATATATAATTTTACATTGTACATGAAGGCACAACATTGCAGCCTGCTACTGCACTAGGGATTCGAACCCAGAAATTCAAACCCAGAACCTTCAGATTCCAAGTCAGCAACCCTTCATATTTGCCACCTAGGTACTAAAGCTGAACAAGAAGTTGGATTTCAGGAGAAGAAACAAAGGGAAGATGCCAACCTTGTTGGCCTCTCCGATGGGTCTGAGTTGAACGACCCCTTGGACACAAACCACCGACTCTGGGGGGAGGTGGGCCAGCGTCTGCTTAATGTCTGCATGGCTCTGGGAACATTGATTCAGAACAGTTACTTGTACATATCTAACCTGTACTCAGCCTTGCAGATCAAAAGTGTATGTAATAAAAGTCTTCAATCATACTTATTGTAGTACAGGCAGAAAAACAAAGACTAGAATCCTCCAAAATCCCCCCTTTGCAAAAGTGGACCTGACCTTGTCTTGTGGCAGGACCAGCTGAATGACTCCATAGGAGTCTCTGAGGGTCACAAACAACTGCTTTCTGGAGAGAGATGAAGAAAGAGTGAAATTGTCAAATTAGTCATTTTTTAGGTAAAGTTCCTTTTTTCTATTATAACATTATATTAGCATTAAAAATGTCCATACTACATGTAGCCTGCTATCTAGTCTATCGTAGTTGGGGCGGGCTGTCTTCAGGGCTCTAACAGTTTCCCCCCGTCAAGCTCAAACGACTGCCGGATAGGAATGTTACATCTGTAGAAATTTTGCACACCAGAAGTTGATTAGCCCCAGTAACTTCTGCCATGCAAAACCTACCGGGGAACCTAGCTGATCATGAGGTGGGCGGGATAGAGCTTCTGCAGACCAGAAGAAAAATCTGCCCCAACCACCATAGACTGGACACCAGTCTACCTCTGAACTTGCCTTTGAAATTGGACCCATCCACAGAGGCTAACATCCTCCCCAGCATGCACTGCTCTCAGCTCACCACAGGTGTGACTTCTCAAGCTGTACGAACTCACATCTGTAAGTGTAAACAAACAAACAAACATGTAAACAAACAATAAACAACTCGCTTCTTGTTTCAACATTGATTACGCCACAAGTTGGTCTTAAGGATTTAAAGATTACATTTTGGCTAGCCGTTTATTTCTACTTAATAAGTATATATATATATATATATACATATATATATATATATATATATATATATATATATATATATATATATACATGTATCATTTGGGCTGCCCAGGTTATATCTATCATAGAAAATCATTTTGTATCAAAGGCCACACAAATATGACTAGATTATGACATTTGGAAAGATGTATCATTTGGTAATGTTATATACATCAAGCTCCTTGAACCTGAACTAGTACTGCTTAGATTTCATAATGATGGAAAATTTTGTCCTGCACAACATATTTTTCTTGCACGCTCGTATCATTTTGGGTAAGGACAATCTGTCATCCATATAATGAAATCAATTTGGCCTAAAATATTATTTATACTTACCTTTGAAGGACGATAAAGGTCTTGCCAACCTCAACTGCCTCACAGGTTGGACCTGTGTGTGTGTCAGACCTCGGAATAGCCTGGATACCAGCCATCGTGCGACAAAACTGCTCATTTTTACAGCTAACCGGTTTCTGCATCAACACACCACGTTTTGCACCCTTCATAACATGACCTCTCAGTTTTACTTCCGGGTTTAGTGGTAGAGTCTACTAAGAAAAGGGGATTATGCTTGCAATATTTACATAAAAGTTGTGTCTTTGTTTGAATATTCATTTTTTTCCAATAATAAACTTTTATTGCTGGTAGATATCCAAGATGTTTAAAACTGCTTGATTATTACGTTTAATGCCACTTAAGATATGTATTATGATAATTAATTCCCCCTAAAATCAACTAGATAGTAATATTAGCGGTTGCTAATATAGACAAGTTTGCGTTGTACATAGTCATTGTAGTGTAACTTACAATATGTTTTTTGTGTGTGCTTTACCTTTTACAGGGTTCCTTCTCATCCTTTTCTAATCCCCACTTACCTTGTAAACAATTTCGTCATCAATATACTAACAAAAGAACAATAGTTACACCCAAAACAAAATTTCACTTCTTTATGACTTCTCCATGCCCCATGACCTTTAACCTTTTGAGGGTCATGCAGGCGTCAAAGGCCGCACAACACAGTATTTATGGGCGAACAAAAGTAGTCCGGGCACAAAGTAGTGCTGCACAATACTAGAGAAGGGTGCAGAGATTGTTCTGAGCATGGCATCGAGATAGAACCTGTGGTAAATGTTAGAGGAATACGTCAGTTTTGAGACTGTAGAAGTTGAATTATGGTGCGTGTTCAGTCGGCGTAGATTTGCGCTTGGATACTTGTCCCGCCTAGTACTGTGCGTCGGCTGCAGTTCCATGACCTCCGCAGTGGCGCTAATAAAAGAGGGCATGAGAAGAAAACTAGCCGGCAAATTTAAGCTCATTTTCGCATGTGTTGTACACTATACCCTGAAATTAAACATATCAAAAATCTGAACCTTGCTTGTGCACCCTACTATGATTTTCAGTGAGTCGAAGTGAGTCACTTTGGGGTCCTTAACCATAGAAGAGGGTCTGCATGCCCTTTTTCGTTAACCGTTATGGGCTATATTAATTTACCGTTAATCGTTGCCGGCCCGCTCTAATTCAACGTTAAGCGTTATCAGTATATTCATCGTGAAGCGTTATTGGTCGTTTTAATTCAACGTAAAACGTTATTTGTCATCCTAAATTCAGCGTTAAGCGTTAATGAATAATTCTTCGTTACGCCTAAATTTGCCTTTCAAAGTGCAGGAAAATGCGTCATTGACGGTTCAAAAATACAAAATTTCCCGGGGGAGAATGCCCCCGGACCCCCCAACATTGCTCGCGCCTTTGGCGCTCGACTCGCGCTTCTGCGCTTGGTCCCTTCGGCTCTACTAGAACCAGCTTTCCCGTCAATTTCCGGAAGTTTGCGGAGAAGGACCGACAAACACTCTCAACACCATGATTTACCTCTCAAAATTGCGTTTTTGAAGGCTTAAAAATCCTTAATCCCCGGACCGCCCTAGATTACGGGCGCCTTTGGCGCTCCCCTTTCAAAATCCATCGGTAAAACTGGGCAGACTGAAAAAATGCAAGCTGGCCGACGTCGACTCGGACTCCCCTTTATTTGAGGACGCACTCGGGGACCAGGGCAGGTGGGAAACACAGGGAACACATACCTTTAATGCGTGCTTCATTACCTTTTTTCACAAAACGAGATACCAAATCCAGTGCAGCTCGAAAAAAAAGCCTGTCAATTTACCGTTAAGCGTTGCCGACCGTCCTGAATTTACCGTTAAGCGTTATCGGCCCTGCTGAATTTACCGTTAACCGTTGCCAGGACCCCCCCATGCAGACCCTCATAGAAATCCCCATAGGGCTAAAACTGTGTTGTGCCGCCTTGAAACAGCGCCCTCCCCACGCCTTGCCCACCTACCTACCGAACTACCTACCTACCTACCGAACTACCGACCTACCTACCCTCGCAAATGCAAGGTGATGTTTCTGCACTTCTCAAAAACTGTGCCACCACTACCCTCACTAAAAATTGACAACTACCCCCTAGTACAAGTTCAAGTAGCTAAACTCCTGGGGCTCCATATACAAGCTGACCTAAAATGAAACACCCAGGTGGACCACATGGCCAAGAAAGGAAGGCAGAGGCTTGTCTTCTTGAGAAGACTCAAATCTTTCGGAGTTACTAGAGAAGATCTTGTCACCATATATACAAGTTTTGTCCGACCCACTTGTGAGTACGCTGTCCCAGTTTGGCAACCAGCCATTACACAGTCCCAAAGACGTCAACTGGAAAGAATACAGCGAAGGGCTTTTCGAATCATCCTTGGGCCTGACTACACAACCTATACTGACGCTTGCAACACGCTATGCCTCATGACACTACAGCAAAGACGTGAACACCTTTGTCAGACATTCGCAAGAAGACTACTACAGTCTGAGTCCTACCGGAATTGGCTACCCCCTTCCGGGGAGACGTCAGTGGTAGAAGAACAAGAAACAGCAGCCTATTGGACACTATTAAAACACGAACTAATCGTTACAGGAATAGTCCCATACCCTATCTTGTAACACTCTTCAACAATAATGCAACCAGTATTTGCAGTTTCGATTCAAATATGTTGTAATGCACATATGTTAAGTTTGGGAGAAGAAATTCATTAGATTTTAATTCTTATGTAAAGATCTTTACCTGGCCTGAATTATCACCTTGAACGTATTAGATTTTGACGTATGGTCTCAACCATTGCATGATACGAGAATTCATCAATAATTGGAGATTATTTTCTCATAATATGTTTTTTTACAACGGCCCTGACTGGAATGTTTCAATGATTGCTAATATTAAATTTCTAGTCCCCCAAAATAGTTCAACCAGCACTATGCAATGCCGAACTAATATGTTTGAATATACACATTTATGACAAGTCATCAATAATAATGTATTAATAATAGGTTTATTGAAATCTGTATGCACGATATGTATTTAACCTCTGACAATGTCTACTCAGAGGTTATCTTTTAATCTGTTAATTTGTAGATTGTATTTTATTAATAATTTATGTATTTCTTTAATAATTTGTAACCCATGTATTTGTCGAATTGTTTTAGCAGTGCAATTCAGTGCGGGTTTACACCAAGCACTGCGAAACTGTAATCTTTGAGAAATAAAACCAATCACTACCACTACCTACCTACCGAACGACCTACCTACCGAACGACCTACCTACCTACCTACCGAACGACCTACCTAC